GTCAAACAACAACAACCACAAAAAAACTTAGATTAAGGCAGTCAGTCTAACTCCATACTAGCGGTACTACAACAAAACAAACATGTCCAAACCAAAAAACGTTTTCGAAATCACCAACAAATAAAGCCATAATTGCAACGTAACAGTGATCACAGGGACAGTGACCGATTTTTTACAATAAACTACATAAATAACATGTAACACCAAATCCTAGAGCCATAGCTGGCTGCATGAGTTACTCCACAACAACAGAAGCATCAGTCGGAGTATCAAATTTTTCAATGCACCTTTAAGATCAGCACGCTATATCAAAATACAGACAATACTTTGCAGCGTCATCCGGAGCGAAATTTTTTATTTTATTTTACGCCAATGAATAGCAGTGGCAGCTAGGGGTGTACAACTCCTCTAGAGTAGTCTAGAGTAGTTTTCAGAGAAGATCTCATTTAGGTTAAGGTGCAAGGGGCCGTCCATAAATGACGTCACGCACCTGGGGGGGGGGGTCAGACATTTGTGACGATGTGTTACGGGGGGGGTTGAGAAATGTGACGTCACATCAAAATGCGCAACTTTAAATAAACATAGACAACACGTTCTACTTAATTAGACTTTTTAATAAATGTTTTCTCCTACAACTTAAGAGTGCAGCGCCACATTAAATACGCACTGCAATGACAATAGTTTAAAGCGATTTGAAGCTTTTTTTATTATTTGGGGGGGGGCAGAGCTTTGTGACGTCATATTTGAGGGGGGGTCTGACTTTTTGTGACGCCGTGTGACGAGGGGGGGGGGGGGTCAAAAATCGTCCAAACTCGCGTGACGTCATTTATGGACGGCCCCAAACCCTGAAAATGCGTGCTCACGCCACTGCTTCCACAAGGGCCTCCAACACAGGGACCTCCAGAAACCCAACTATTTGCAATGTATTTAGCCTACTCTTCCACTCCGAGCAGACGTCTTGGAAGACATAGGAGTACCCACAATTTACCCCCACCGCACATTTACGGGCAGTCCTCGGCTTACGAACCTAATTAGTCCCTGAGTCAAACGGTTCGTAAGTCGGAACACGATAATGCCCATACGGTCAGCGTTATGAAATGTGATGGTTCAACAAAAAAGGGAAGCCGTTGTTAAACTCATCACATCTCGCGGAGGACAGCTCCTCCGAACAAAATAATTCGGTGGTTCAGTTTCCAAGTGCAAGTCTGCGGTTTAAGTCAATGTTATTAGTTATATATATTTTTTATGGAAACTGGTTTGTAAGTACAGGTCGGGCCTTCCAAAGTGGAGGGCAGTCTTTATACTGCTGTATTGGCAGAGCTGGTGGCAAGGGATCCAAGAGCATATTTAAAAACAACCTGCACCATTGTTCCAAATGCCACCACCGGGGGGATCAAACCGTGCGACTTCTGCATTGCAAGTCAAGGTTTGAGGCCATCCATTTAGTGCGTACGCATAAATGGATGTGGGGGATTAACCCAAACGCGTACGCTTGCGTATGGTGGGGGGGGGTCTACTGACAATGTGCGTACGCATAGGAAACGGGGGGGGGTGAAGCCTCGATAATTTGTCTACATTGCCATTAAAATGAGTTAGATAGTCCGGCGGTGGACTATCTGTTTGCTTAAACACGTTAATATTATTAATCCTTCATCGTTTCTGCGTAAGGATTAAATATCGGCCGTTCTATAGGATTGCTTGTGTTGCAATCGAAACATCGTATGGTATTATTTAATTTATTATTTTCTCTTTCTACGTGACTTTACCGAAAGAACCAAAGACTAATTCCATCTAGCACTGTCGAACTAATTATTTCTGATTTTAAGAAATATAGCTGCAGCCCACTGGTAACACCCTCTCGCCAACTCTAGTATCCGCCGTTCATTGTAATGGTATGATCATGAACGCCCTCGCTATTGCGAACCCTCGTTCGTGCCGTAATCCGATCAAGAGTTCTCTTATGCGTCTCCCCCGCCCCACCCCGCAATGCCCTTATCTTCAATCTGCTCATGATCCAAGATACATTTGCCAGGGTTCTCACGTGAACCCATAAACGAGACCTTGATACACAATTCCAAAGAGTTTACAATGATCATGAGAACGAAACCATTGTCAATTTAGATGCCATGGAAAGCAAGCCTCTTAAGAATATTTGTTTACCATTGTCAATCTACTACACGTGGCCCAATGGTTAACTTACTATTTGTCCAATGTGACCCCCATTAAAGATGGTTGATATCCATGACGTGTTTTCACACTGCTCATGTTGTCCCATTATCTGCACTTTGTAGTTAGTTTGTTCTTTCCCCCACACCTCCGATTAGTACGGTTGGCTATCAACGTTGGGAAATAAGTTTAATATACATGATTCCAACCGCACCTCCGATGAGCACGGTTGGCTACGTACGGTGCAAAAGAAGTTTAACATATGCACATCATATTCTTGGTTATTTCGGTAAAGTCACGTAGAAGGGCAACAATAAAATAATAAAAATATAAAACAATAATATTTTCACGATGTTTTGACTGCAACACAAGTAATCATCATCAGGTGTGAAAACCACAGCAAGAAAATAGATGGACTCGTCCATCTGAACAAACTGTCAAATCGCTCTCCGTGGTGCTAACGTTAAAAATAACCGCCACTTTTTTCAAATTTCCTTGCTGTGGTTTTCACACCTGATGATGATTGCTTGTGTTGCAGTCAAAACGTCGTGAGAATTTTATTGTTTTATATTTTTATTATTTTATTGTTTCCCTTCTACGTGACTTTACCGAAAGAACCAAGAATATGAATCCCTGCAGTCACGAAAGCTTTAACTCAAAATATGTACATCATTTAATGCGGTGTTTCCCCCCCCCCCCCTCTTTCCTTTGATTATCGCATGAGGAATAATCCAGCTGACCCCTCTTAGGATGCGTCCAGCACACGCCTCCTTCCTTCTCGGCCATTCCTAAGAGTAGACATTCTCTCTCCCAGCACATCTTCGTTATTCCTACCACACCAGGGTAAGGTGGTAGCGTGGTGGTTTGTACACCGCTAAAAAAACATTCTTTAAACATAAAACATGGTTGTAGTCATTTTATTTTCCAGCTATGTCAAATCCAAACCTAACTTTACAAGAATTTCAACGTCTTCACACTGTTACAGTATATGTCCAGTACAGTAATGAAGATACAGTTAATGGATTCACACTGGCGATTGTCGATTTTCATGACTATGGCATATACAGCGAGGGAAAAAGTATTTTATCCCCTGCTGATTTGTACGTTTGCCCACTGACAAAGAAATTATCAGTCTATAATTTTGATAGGTTTATTTGAACAGTGAGAGACAGAATAACAAAAAAATCCAGAAAAACGCATGTCAAAATTGTTATAAATTGATTTGTATTTTAATGAGGGAAATAAGTATTTGACCCCCTCTCAATCATAAAGATTTCTGGCTCCCAGGTGTCTTTTATACAGGTAACGAGCTGAGATTAGGAGCACACTCTTAAAGGGAGTATACAGGTAACGAGCTGAGATTAGGAGCACACTCTTAAAGGGAGTGCTCCTAATCTCAGCTTGTTACCTGTATAAAAGACACCTGTCCATAGAAGCAATCAATCAATCAGATTCCAAACTATTCACCATGGCCAAGACCAAAGAGCTCTCCAAGGATGTCAGGGGCAAGATTGTAGACCTACACAAGGCTGGAATGGGCTACAAGACCATTGCCAAGCAGCTTGGTGAGAAGGTGACAACAGTTGGTGCGATTATTCGCAAATGGAAGAAACACAAAAGAAATGTCAATCTCCCTCGGCCTGGGGCTCCATGCAAGATCTCACCTCGTGGAGTTGCAATGATCATGAGAACGGTGAGGAATCAGCCCAGAACTACACGGGAAGATCTTGTCAATCTCAAGGCAGCTGGGACCAGTCACCAAGAAAACAATTGGTAACACACTACGCCGTGAAGGACTGAAATCCTGCAGCGCCCGCAAGGTCCCCCTGCTCAAGAAAGCACATATACATGCCCGTCTGAAGTTTGCCAATGAACATCTGAATGATTCAGAGGACAACTGGGTGAAAGTGTTGTGGTCAGATGAGACCAACATGGAGCTCTTTGGCATCAACTCAACTCGCCGTGTTTGGAGGAGGAGGAATGCTGCCTATGACCCCAAGAACACCATCCCCATCGTCAAACATGGAGGTGGAAACATTATGCTTTGGGGGTGTTTTTCTGCTAAGGGGACAGGACAACTTCACCGCATCAAAGGGACGATGGACAGGGCCATGTACCGTCAAATCTAGGGTGAAAACCTCCTTCCCTCAGCCAGGGCATTGAAAATGGGTCGTGGATGGGTATTCCAGCATGACAATTACCCAAAACGCACGGCCAAGGCAAAAAAGGAGTGGCTGAAGATGAAGCACATTAAGGTCCTGGAATGGCCTAGCCAGTCTCCAGACCTTAATCCCATGGAAAATCTGTGGAGGGAGCTGAAGGTACGAGTTGCCAAACGTCAGCCTCGAAACCTTAATGATTTGGAGATCTGCAAAGAGGAGTGGGACAAAATCCCTCCTGAGATGTGTGCAAACCTGGTGGCCAACTACAAGAAACGTCTGACCTCTGTGATTGCCAACAAGGGTTTTGCCACCAAGTACTAAGTCATGTTTTGCAGAGGGGTCAAATACTTATTTCCCTCATTAAAATGCAAATCAATTTATACAATTTTTGACATGCGTTTTTCTGGATTTTGTTGTTGTTATTCTGTCTGTCGCTGTTCAAATAAACCTACCATTAAAACTATAGATTGATAATTTCTTTGTCAGTGGGCAAACGTACAAAATCAGCAGGGGATCAAATACTTTTTTCCCTCACTGTAGGTGATATTGCAGCAGATAAGCCAAAATGTGAATCTGTCGCCAATTGCAATTAACGTATTAAGTGAAACGCACTTTAATTTACCGCAATTCGATAGCAAGAAAAGGAAAAATTCCACACGTATTAAGGTGTTGCGTAACTGACCACTATCACTTTGTTATACACTTAACGTTACCTGGATAGTTTCACAAAGGCTGTGCAAAAAGCAACTAACGAAACATGTTCAACTCGACCTTGGTTTTTAACATCAATGTTATTTTAAATGAGGAAAAATGTACGTAGAATTCTTAGGGCTTTTAAAGCATAATTCAAACAAAAACTTAAGAGCTGAACTGTAGGTTCATGTGATGATACATTGGACAGTCACTGCACAACATCAACTCAAATTCTTTGACACTGGTACAGCTGTGCAGTGGTCAGCGTTTTCCGCTGCATGCTATTCGACGTGCAGTCAAGAAACGTACATAAATACATTTCTGTAGACCCCGTTTCCATTGGGCCTATAATCACCACAAACGGCTTTTCTGTTGTAAAATGTACATTTCTATGACATTGGTGTAAATTACTTTCAGAAATAACATGTGTACACAATGGACTACTCTCACAGGTTGTCAGTTAATATTCACTTCACAACAGACCACTCACTCCCAAAGTGTCTTCCCTCTGTGCCTCAATGGTAAAAGTGGTAACTACGAGGTCGATTGAAGCTGACAAAGACATGAAGGCCAATGTAAATGCTTGTTTCATTTTAAACTCTGAAATACCACCTAAGCTGGTGGACTAAGGAATAACACTAACTCATTATGCCTGCCACGAAAAACAATCAGAGCAACAAACCATAAATAATGTATACAATTCAGAACCCCACTGAAGATTTTTAATATTATTTCACAATGAGTTTTTAGTAATGGAATGAAAAACTTGTTTTGACCGCAAAACAAGCTCAATAGTTTTACATTCAGAACACTAACATATGGTCATATACGACACGTATATTATAACGGGTTTTTTTTTTATTTCCCAATTATTATTTGGTTGAAGATGCAGCAGGCAAAAACTCTGAATCCCTCCATAATATTTCAACATTTCACAAATAGTGCAACTGGATTGAAACAAAAGCCCAATAGAACATAAATTAACAATCGTTCTACGTGAAGAAGTCATGAACACCTCAACCAATGTGGGGAGGGGTAGCGGTAAATGTAAATATATATTTTAACAGTAATCCTCAGTTTGCCTGCTCATAGAACTGCCAGTCTCACCGCATTTAAGCAAGGAATTGCCGGGCTGGGGACGCTAATTCCAGAAAAGTGCGACCACGACAGCCAGCGCCACAGCACAAACAGCCAGCACAGACAGCACAGCTGGGGATCGCAGTTGGGCCACCGCGGTGTGGAACGGGCAGGCGGCGCCAGCGCTGATGACATCTGCAACAACAACATTTAAGACAGGGGGGGGCAGAGTGTCTTAAATTAAGACAGTAACAGAAAAGAGACTCGGCAACATACGTGCAACGCTTTAACTACGCGCAGAACGAACGGAACGTTCACCCAATTCTCCCCGAACAACCACATAGACACCGGTCAAAGGCTCTTAAGCCTCAACAGGTTCCAGAATGCAGCAGTGATTTGATGGGGCAAAGCGTTTTCCACACTACCAGACCAAGTTCCTAGGCAATAAAAGCACAGCGGCTAAGCAAAAAAAAACAGTCATACATTAAAGCTAGATTATGTACTTTGGCTAATGTAAATAAGCAGCACCCACCATGATCATCAAATTTGCAACAATAAACTGATTGATGTGTATCTTTAAAATATACACACCATCAATGTTCAGGCTCACACAGGCCCAGAGACTAGCATCATTTTTGAGTAATACACTTTTATTTCTGGTATGAACACAACTGGGATTTTTTTTTTATTTGATTGAAGACTCCTACATTTTACCGGAGGGTCTATACATTAATAAAATTGATTCCAGTTGCTCGGTTCTTGGCCAGACAAATCAACGCTCTGGCAATGCAACTTACATTGCATGCATATCACACTGTTAACTTTTCATAAGCACACATGTGTTTTATCATCACATCGAAGACCACAATCAATGGAAATGCAAGGAACAAGAAGAAAACTGACGAAGCGGCCTTTCACATCAACACTTTCACAAGTGGCATTCTGTAATTAGGTGCCCACATAAAGATCTGCTTCCTGTAATTAATGAAAGCCACTTTTTTGTATTTACGTTGAATACTAATGGGTATCTCCGATTCGTAATTAATTTGCTACATGACATTAATGTGAGTGGCAAGGAAGAGTGAAATCAATGCAGTGTTATGGTTTATAAGAACCAGCACCACAACAGCATTATCCTAATGACCCATTTCCTTAAACAGACGGAACCAAGAGTGGTCTCACAGAGTGGGGAGAACAATATAAACGTTTGTACAAATAGCCAGACTTCTTTCGTACGTAGCCAACCGTGCTAACCGAAGGATAAAATAAGTAGTGTGGAGATATAAAATAATAATCTAATTGACCACCTCGGAAATATATTTTATGCCAAATTATACAAACCCAAATGTATCGATAGGCATTTTTTTATTATTTAATACTGGTAGGAACCTCCTGGTTACACCAGCCCACAGGGGATTATTGTGTCCGTCCGTCCATCGTGCATTCAAAAATGGGAGGGGTGGGGCTGGGTGGAGAGGGGAGGGTGGGGAGGGGCTGGGTGGGGAGGGAGGGGCTGGGTGGAGAGGGTGGGGAGGGTGGGGAGGGGCTGGGTGGGGAGGGTGGGGAGGGGGTGGGAGGGGTGGGGCTGGGTGGGGAGGGTGGGGCTGGGTGGGGGGTGGGAGGGGTGGGGCTGGGTGGGGAAGGGCTGGTCACCCCGTGGTGCCCTTATAAAACTCAATGTTTAACCTACTCACGACGGCTTGTGCCCGCCCTCACAGTCGGGCATATTTGCGGAATACACCACGTGGTGCCGCCGTTGACCCTGGCCATTGACCGAGCAACCCAACGTTCCTACCAGCTCCCTCCGCAGGAATGTGTTTATTTACCTTGGGCGGCATAGTAGGGGCATTTCCGCCGGTCTCCAGTGCCGTCGTGCACCGACATTCCAGAATCCGAAGCCTCCTCTTGGACCGTCTCACCAATCCGTTCCAACTCGTCAAACACCTGCAATGACACAACGTAAAAAATACCGCTTGGTATACATCATTAACACATTCCTGTGGAGGGGGCTGGTAGGAAATGTTGAAGTAATTATGAACGGACTTTTAAGCCAAACTTGTTAGGGTCGTGCGCAGAAGAAAGCAAAATGAAAAGTGAGCAGAATTATAAAACGACGCCAGAAAGTTGCAGTGTAAAAGAGGTCGCACCAGAAAGTGCAGTGTATAATCCCCTGCCTCCTGTGAACTAATCCCGGTGGGGCTTCCAGTCCACTACGTTTCCTACCAGTATTACACCAGTAATTTGGGGAGTTATTTTCTCACCAAATATATCCTCCACTGTGCCGTCACCATCAAAGCGCTGGATGAGCAGCCAGCAACCGAATTACCTGGGTTCAAACCCACACGCTTGCACTCTATGCAGTTTTGAAATCTCATTTGTCAACAACGTACAAACCCTACTCTTTAATATCCGTGTAGTGGGTTCCGGAGACACTTCGGATAGGTAACTAACTTTATTACAATACAGCACTCCAACAGTCCTCCTCATACACTGTTACAGCCCTAGGGAGACAGCCTACTCCTAGTGTGCCGTGACACTGACAACGCTCTCTGGTCCTCCGCTATAACTACCCTAGGGGAGGCTACCCCTGACCCAACCCAGCCAAGGTGCGGGTCTAGACTCTGGCTTCCTCGGCCCCGCGCCCTCACAAGGGCGCGGGGCCGGGAGTCCCAGAATCCCACCACTGGCCCGCGTAGCGGGTCGAGGGGGTCCAGGGTCCTATCTAGCTGCTGGTCTTCGGCTTCGGTCTTCAACTGGTCCCAGATCGGCTGGGGAGGTCCCCTTTTATGCCCCTTGCCTATTGAGGGGTGGGGCTGCGAAGGATCCTAGACCCCCCCCGCAGCCCCCCCCCCCCCCCCCCATTGGGGGCGCCAAGAGGCTTAGTTGTCTGGGGATCCTGAGCCCTCCAGCAACACCCAGCAGCCCCTCTCCTCTTGGGCTGGTGCTGCAGCTCCTCACCTGACGGTACGAGGTACCACCGTACCATCCATGCTGCTACATTTTAAACCCACACGATTGCATTCTATGCAGTTTTGCAATCTCATTTGTCACCAACGTACAAACCAAGTCTTTAACATCTGCATACACACAGACGAGACCGAGTGAACGAGTAGACATCCTTCCGTATGGACAAAACGTGACAAATTACATTCTCCACTCTCGATGTCCACGCCCTTACCTCGATGTTAAAATGGAAAGCTCTGTTGGCCTCGCTCACAATGCGCTCCTCTCCCTTGGCGTCCAGCTCCAGGCTGTTCATGCGCGAGCGGTACAGCTGCTTGAACTTGCCGGCGTTGGTGACGTTGTCGAAGGTGTAGAACTCGAGGCCCTCGCCGCTGGCGGGCAGGTGCAGGGCACGCTGTGCCACCTTCTTGAGGACCTGGCCGCCCGAGAGGTCGCCCATGTAGCGCGTGTAGGCGTGGGCCACCAGCAGCTCCGGCTCGTGCTCCCCGATCCACCGGATGCGCTCCACGTACCTGCGAGAATGTTACTGAAATGCGCTCGGGGTGTAATCATTTAACCCTTGCCCGTTCCGATGACGTACGTGTACATCGTAAAAACGAAACCGGAAAGAAAAAAAAACCGGAATTAAATAACTAAAGTAAAATAAGTAAAATAACTATATCGGTGCCGAGGCTGCCACAAGGCCACGCGGGAGGGCGTGTGGCACATTTTAACACCAGCTATCATAGAGTGCGGTCGTGTCGCTGCAGTTCTCTGCGGTGAATACAATGTCTTGAAAAACAATGGCGCTACACCTCTCTCACAATGTTTATGAGGGTAATGCGTTCATTTTAGTAGCATTGTATTTAGTCATTTTTACAAGAGTTTCGGCAATTTGCGTTATTCACAGGCCAGTGTGGCATGGACAAACATACATGTACATTACTCTGCACAAATGTAGAACGGACATCAATGTGCGTGCATTGTGCTAAACACAAATTAATTAACTTGTGACTGAGATGAGCGAGTGCGTTTTAAATGAGTGGTTGCTCGCCAAAGGTGTGCGAAAGTCCAATTCAGCCCTCATAACGGCATTGTTCCCCTAGACTAGTTTCACTATAGACACATGACTATGCATGACTGCAGTTCCTTTTAATTATGAAGTGGTGGTATTCCTATACCGTTTATTCTGACATTTTCCACAATTATTTCCAAAACTGTCTATAGCTTTAACAAAAAAAAGACATGCAATATAACTGGTATTGACCAAACATCCCAATGTTGAAAAATTACCTGCAAATTACTCAATTGGGATTCCACGTACCGACGTTCCTGCCGACTGCAAAATAAAAACTTGGCAGGACCCTCATGAAAGAGAGTCTAGAGCCTCTTTGAGGCTTTGTCCGGGTAAACGAGCGGCGAAAACTGAGTAAGTAAAGCAATATTGTGATCACAGGAAACATATTAAGCGCATATGTACGCAGGTAAAGCGACGTGATCAAAGCCCAAGTACTTCTGAGCGGCGTCGGAGCAGACGATCTCCTCCCGCCACCGTGCGCCGTAGAAGAATTGCAGATCCTTCTCCAGCGCGGCCTTGCGGTGCAGTTCTGCCGGGAAGTAGAGCGGAGCGAACACGGGGTTGTCCTTGTTCCTGTCCATCTCCTCCTCCAGCGCCGTGTACACATGGTACAGCGCCACCGTCGCCAGCTGCATCATCCCCCGCGCCGACGCCACAGCCCCCCCCCCCCACCAGCAGCACAAGCAGCGGGTTCACAGACAGGACGCGAGCCAGAGTTAGACGTAACAAAACAGAGATGGAGGGACATCAACAAAACAAAAAAACCTAACTCACTAATGTGTAACGTAGGCGAGGGTGTCCGATTCAAACGATACGGAGACATTGGACAACGGAAACAGTGAGCGGGTGGGAGCAGCAGGGGAGAAAGGGTCCTCTCGCGCAGGAGGGATGAATGGGAGATGAGAGAGGACAATGACAGCCTTGGTTTGAAGCAGCAAGCCAGAATATTAAAAAATTGGGAATAGGTTTGCCTTGAAGAGCTGTTTCTTGATTCTGCCCTTGAGGAACTCCTTCACAAAGTGCGTGTTCTCTGCCTTCTCATGAGATTTCTTGGTGCCCTCCATCAACTTCTCTGACAGCTCACTGCAGAACAGCACATTAAACAGGATGAACGGCCAAGGTAATAATGCACATTTCATACAATCAATCACAAGTTAAATTACAAAAATCGCCAAACAATTTGCGTTGTGAAACATGTTCGTAATTTAGTTTTATTATAATGTACAGCCTATGGTTCTCGGACAAGTTTTCGTTTTTTTGCATAATTTTTATTTCACCACGAGTTGAAATAAATCCATTGAGATGCAATAATCACTGCCTATTATGCAAGGGTGATGTTTATTACCATCAAGGACAGAAGTTTTGTATATGTAAGCGTCTTACCTCAGTCTACCTACTGCTGGTGAAATTCCTTGTATTAGAAACATAAATCATGTTGCCTCACTCGTAAAATTAAGCGACCCTCAAGGCCAGTGGTACCATATGAAAACCACACTTGCCGCCGTAACTATAGGGGATGCAATGAATATGCTACTCTTTCAATTTAGGTCATATGCCGGCTATTTTATATCCATTAAAATACAACTGCATGGATGCATAAAAAACAAACACGGACATTGAATTGTAAGTGTAAAAACACTTGAAACCATCACATTGTGACCTGCTGTACTTGTGACGTTCAACCTCGGTCTACATCGGGAGGGACACGTGCGCTTCGAGGCTCATGGTCAGAATGCACTCTGGGAGGGAGACGTGAGGTGGGAGAGGGCAGCGAGGTAGTTGAGAGAGGGAACCGAGTTCGGTGAAGGAGGCAAGCGAGCAAAAAGAGGGCGGAAAGATTGGTGTGGAAGGCCGGAGGAGCGAAGCAAACATAGGCAGCGATGGACTGGAACCATAAAAAAAAATCGGCCCAGCCATTTGTAAAGACAGCAGCCCAAATTGCCATGCGATCTCATTGGGCCCATTTGGGGCTGGGTCCAAAAAACAAACGGGGCCAGTGAGGAAGACTCTTTGGGGCTGCCGAATATGGGCACTTAATGCCAACTGAGAGTGTAAATAAGCAATGAACCGTACACCGTAGGTATGAATAAATTGTTGCTCTCAGCTCCCTTATGTTTGGTGTGGCCACCGTGAGCTTACTGACACTTACTTACTCCTCTTCGCTCCCTGTGGAGCATGAGGCTGCAACAAGCCCATGCCATGCCGGACGGTCTTTAGCGGCTTTCTCTGCTTCACCCCAAGACAGGCCCCCATGGCCATTAGACCGTGAGCTTAAGGATCAATGTTGATTGGTAAATGTATGGAATTATCACACCCCTGATATTAAGAGTATCTTGCATATTTTGGTCACATTTAGGAGAACCTATGTAGGTCCAAATTGCATTGAACGTTGTGTAATTAAAGGAGACACCACACTCACTTATGCTGGCCTTTCAGTAGAGGGCCTCATAAGCGTAAGGTGTTCAAATGTCTACATTCAAGATTAAAATGATATGGGCTGTTACGCCTCCTACAGGCATTACATGCAGACAACAGATCACCCGTTTCTAAAATAACCAATGCGTAATTTGCATTCAGGTAGTACATGTAACTTCTGGAAAGGTTATACAGTAGTAGACTCTCGATTATCTGCACTAATGACGGGGAGGATGGCCTCGAACAATTCAAGATCGCGAATCCAAAAATATACATTTTCCGCGGATCTCTATGCCAAAAACCACTAATATCGGTATTAATGATGTTTAAGTTTCTCTGCCATCGCACAGTTTCGTAAATTAAAACTCACAAAATAAATGATTGGTTAAATCAGTGAAAGTGAAGCACAACTGACGATTTTTGATCGTTCCTCTTTCGATTTAGAACGAAGACTAACGATCGACCGATGCGTGTGCTCAGGGATAACACTTTCCTGCTCCCGTGCAGAAGACACGGCCCACTAAGTGCTCAGCAGCAGCAGCGCCACGCCAATACAAATCAATTAAACGCCGCCCACTGTTGTAAAGATATGCAACGACTGTACACTGTAGAGGTGATCACGCGGATTTGGGATTAACCGGACCACATATTCGGTTTAATTTGGGCTTAACAGAAAATCCATGATGCCTTGAATAAAGGTGTCAGTTTTTGTGCCAGTTAAAAGGGTAAAACCTATTCCTATATGTTGTTACTGGAAAAGGAGGTTTCATAATGTAAATGCTCACCCCGAGCCCTCAATACTCTGATAGTGCGCTGTTTTTGAGTTGTACGCCTTTTGGCGTTTTCTGGTCCAACACCAATGGAGACTAGGCTCTAAGAAAAGCCGTCTCGGGTGTCGACCAATCAAATTCAAGGACAGTGCATATTATTATCAGAGTTGTCTTTTTTGTTTGCATTTTGACTGCTTGTGTTGTGGTTATTGCAAACATGATACCTTGAATAAAGGTGTCAGTTTTTGTGCCAGTTAAAAGGGTAAAACCTATTCCTAGAAAATCCATGAGTTATTAATTAATGTCAAAATCTCAGTTCCACGGTTAATCCGCAAATCGGATAAACCGCATTCGAATAAACGAAAGTCTACTGTATTTGGCTGGTCTCGATCAAAATAACCCATGACCCCCTCAATAACAAGCTGGGAATATGACACTGTACAGCATTATGAGCAATGCCTATTAATAACGATGTACTGGGCACAAAACGCATACCTGGGAGATAAAGGTTCCTCATGCTCCTCATCCACAACAACAGAGCCATTCACCTTCTTGGAACCAGCCTCCTCCACGGTCACTTCTCCGCCTTCTTTGTCAGCCATCACACGTCTGGAATAAGACCTACACACAGAAAAGCACAAACTTTGCTTTACAGAGCTCTAAAATCGTATACGAGGTGAAGGGTATTTATATTTATATCACACAGATCCCGAGGCAAAGCCATGTTTTGAAAGCTGCTGCCTCAGAATGCCCCCGCACGATGGTAATAATGGGACAACAATGGCCAAGACCCGCAGAGAATGTTGACATCTCATTCCAGACCCAAACATTGCGCCTCCTGGCTTTTTTCACATTCCTCCTCGAATACGCTGGCGTATCCATCGATCACGTCAGAGCTTTAACAGGCCGATGCGCAACATCCCCTTCATGAACGGAAAATGTTTTAGACGAGCCACAGTGACCACGCAACTCAAACTATGGACCATGCAGGAAAATCACTGTTAGTCTGCACTCCTGCGAAGGTGAAATAAGACAAAAATACACTAACGCTCTGCTGAAGCCCGCTAGTGGCTAGCAGACCTCAACATTACCATTTAGGCTATCCACATATACAAACACAACAGACAATTTCAACCGAGAAGATGGATTCTGGCTTAGCAATCATTGGAAGGATTTGATAAACATTTTCGGGTCTTAATTAATTGTTCACGCTTACGGTGGCTTTCAGACAGCATACATTATTTTTTTCGTCTCCCCCCTCCTCTTTTTTCCGAACATAGATAGACTCGTCCATCTAGACAAACTGTCAAATCGCTATCCGTGGTGCTAACGTTTTAAAATAAATAAATACAAACCGCCACTTCTTTCAAATGTTCTTGCCGCTGGTTTTCACACCTGATGATGACTGCTTGTGTTGCAATCGAAACGTCGTAAGAATTGTATTATTTGTATATTTTATTATTTTGTTTCCCTTCAATGTGACTTTACCGAAAGAACCAAGAATATGAATCACTGCAGTCACGAAAGCTTTAAATAAAAAAAATTACCATTTAGCTCCTGGAAATACTGTTTTGCCATAGAAGGGAAATTGGGGAACTGTGTGAGCAGAGACGAGAAAAAACCCAAATGTAAACTAAAGAGCAACAACGTACAAAATGTGTTCACAAGCAGAGAGCTCTGAGCCTGCTGTACACACGCTTCTTTCAAAAAGCTACTCAGCATAAAACATCCACACGTTCATTTAAACAAAACAAAACCGCACAACATGCAATGTGTGCACATACAAAGCGGCTAACAACAAAACCGAACTCAAGTACTAATAGTGAGATAACAATGCATATAATTCTTATCAAATTTTAAAATCCATAATAGGTACACTCATTCATGGGATTGGCCAGATATCACAATGCAGCATCCCTCCTGAAAATCTAATTTTTAAACTCAGTGAGAATTTCATTATAAACAAGGGGCATTCTTATTTATTATTATGTAACAAGTTGTACACCTGATAGCTTTACACTGATGAACCATTTGTGTACAAAGTGTACAAACAAATTGTAACACGGGACAATGTCTACGATCCAAAAATGCATATTAACATTTGGTGCGCTGCATTATATCAACGAGTACAATTCCCGGCAAGTGATATCTGAACCATCACGGGCCCCACTTTTCACCATTCCTTCCTGACCAGCATGCTGAAGTATGGTCAGTCCCACCCCCCCCCCTCCTCCCATTACCAACACAGATGGGCAGACCTACATTCAGCAGTGGATTTATCTGCTGTAAATGATTGTTTATTTGAAGGTGGTTACTGCGGGAGTCATAAGTATGTTCTAACTTACTTCCAACTTTCATAACCGCAATGGCGAATTATGACAGCCTTCTCCGGACGTAGAGGCTACACATCACGTTCTCCATGTGACCATCTTGAATCCACATGTCACCAACATTCATGCATAAAGCAATTGCAAGTTGTCATCCCTTGCACAAAAACGTGTCCATGCTTGCAATTCACGCACTGTACTTCTTAACACTGCGCTGCATACGCCATCCTACGGCACCAGTGTACACTTCCTTGATTATATTCAAATGTTTGCACTCCTAAGCTTAAAGTCAATTAATCTTAATTATCTTCAGATGATTAGTTGCCCTTTGAATGAGGGCTTCCCGACGCAGTGCGGGTTCATTGGCCATACTTCCCCACGCTGGTCAGTGCGAATTGAAGGCAGGGGAGCACATACGTGGGCACACTGAAGTAAAATTTCAATGAATATGCTCCACTGCTTTTATGCAGCCCACAATGTAGTCTGACAGCAACCTATAAACAAAGCTATTATTTTTGAAATAATAGCTCTGTTTATTAGGGTCAATGCTTGGTAATGTTGCCACACTGCCTTCTGCTGCCCACAACATAACCCACATGCATACAGTACTGTACAGTACTCCAAATAATCAATGCATTATATAGATATGTAGACCAATATACTTCACTGTAGTTTAAAAAAACAATATTGGTTCAACGATTCGCCCCCTCGCGATTCAATCAATTATCGATTTAACACAACGGTGAATGTAGCGGCATCTAGCGGTCGCGTGGTGGTCCCTGTACTAAAGCCTGGTTCTCAATCATTAAAAAAAAGTATGTTCACAAATACATCGAGGGTTTGATGAAACAAAGCCAAGTTGTACTCACGTGCCCGTGCTTAATTAGCGTTTCCGATTATTTATCTTCTGAAAAGATCTGGCCATGTCTCGCACACCCAGAGAGGGCATCTCGCACACCCAGTTGGGTGCGTGCACCACAGGTTTAAGAACCGCTGCATTAACGAGCTCAAGTTTCAGTTTGCTTTACCGGGTGACAACTCAAAGGAGACCAGCATAAAGAATCTCGTTCGTGAGTGGGGACCTGGGAGACAAATTACGAGCGACGAATCCTTCGCGTGCCGTTTCTACGCGCGTGTCGCGACCTTAACAATCGACGGCGATCGACATTGATCCATTGAATAACACTTCGTATCGCGTACGCTCTCAACGCTTAAGATTCTGCTCGTACATTTGGTAATGGTATTGCTCCGCAACGACGCTCATGAACGTCATTTATCGCAGAAATGTTGCTTTTGAACTAGCACCTACCCACCCCCCCTATCCTTTTGTGCCTTTAACATCTGGGCAGTTCACCGGCATTGGTTCATGCGAGGCCTGACCCTGCTGATCAGAACATTGATCGTCGAAACCGACCCCCCAGACGTTTTGCTTGTGCTGCTCAATCAACGCTGAATTGATCGCGCTCGCAGGAGGAAGGCATGCCGTGGGGGCCTATATTATTGTCCGCTCATCTTATTTCACTGTTTGCGTATTCTCCACCACGAAGCTCACTGGTACGTTTGCAAGTCTTTCAGCACCGGCAACGTGGAGCAAGCGCGTTGTGGGCGAGACACACTAGAAACAGCAACAACTGCATATAACAATTGGTTTGACCCTTTGTGGCAATAAAGCAAGTGTTAGGATGTTTTAAAAAAAAAAACCCCAACAGAAACCTTTTTCAAGGAATCATGTCCGCATTAACCACACATACTTGTGGTGAATGTGCAAACAAAAACATGTTCTGGTAGTATGTGGTGATGCATTGTCTTTGTAACTGATTGGTCCACACCAGAGACAGCTTTCTTTTAGAGCCTAGTTAGACGCCGAAAGACGAACAGCACAAAGACAATGTCACTATCAGGACATCGAGAGCTCGGGGTGAGCAGCTACAATTTGGGACCTTTCTTGCCAGAATCAAAATATAACTATTGCCAATGTTTCACCCTTTCTAGCAATAAAACAGGTGTTAAGAAGTTAAAACACCAAACTGAAACCTTTTGTCTGCATTCACCACACATACTTGTGGTGAACATGCACAACAACAAAAAAACATGCTCTGGTATTCATCTTTCTTCTTGGTTCTTTCGGTGAAAAAAATAAAAATCATGATCTGGCAATGTCTGTGCATTCTCTCTGAAACTGATTGGTCCACGGACAGAGACAACTTTCTTGAGAGCCTTGTCTCAAACAGCGTTAGATCAGAGGACGCCGAGACGCGAACAGCACAAAGACAATGCCACTATCAGGAACATTGAGAGCTCGGGGTAAACAGCTACATCATCATGGGACCTCTATTGGCTTGCCAGTATCAAAATAAATGTGTCAACAAAGGGAGGGCCCGTGTATATGTTTTGATATTCCGGCAAGGGAGGGCCCATTGAATTAAGAACTGCGCGGGCGGTGCGGCGCGTCCGCGAGGCACAAACAACGTCCGAGAAACGCCGCACACAGTCACGGTCGGGGCAATGAGACCGCCCCACAACGGGGAAAGCAAAAAAAGACAACAGGCGACGTTTCGGGCAGTCGACCTTCTTTGATGCGCGCAAGCCCCGGGTTCGCAGCAGCAACAACAACAATAACGGCACAACACCACCACGGCAGAGAAAGGCAAATTACCGTCGTTCGAGAGGAGTGGAAATGTTTGACGGATTGTGATAAACACCAAATAATAATGACGATGGTGATGATGACGATGCTTGAAAGCCAAACGCACCACACCGTGACGCTGCGACTCTTCAAGACCTCACACACGCTGGGCGCCCCGGAGCCTGAATAGCCGCTCTGGGGGAGGGCCCCGGAGCCTGAATAGCCCACTCTGGGGCAGGGCCCCGGAGCCTGAATAGCCCACTCTGGGGCAGGGCCCCGGAGCCTGAATAGCCACTCTGGGGGAGGGCCCGGAGCCTGAATAGCCACTCTGGGGGAGGGCCCAGAGCCTGAATAGCAACTCTGGGGGAGGGCCCGGAGCCTGAATAGTCGCTCTGGGGGAGGGCCCGGAGCCTGAATAGAAACTCTGGGGGAGGGCCCGGAGCCTGAATAGTCACTCTGGGGGAGGACCCGAAGCCTGAATAGCAACTCTGGGGGCGGGCCCGGGGCCTGAATAGTCACTCTGGGGGAGGGCCCGGAGCCTGAATAGTCACTCTGGGGGAGGGCCCGGAGCCTGAATAGCCGCTCTGGGTTTCAGTTTCATTTATTTGGTATAGCCCTGTGAGCCATTCGGCTCTTGAATCGGGTGCAAAAGACTAAAATATGAACAAGAAAAACATCTTAACAGCAAAATATTCCTAGGTGGAGGCGCCCCGGAGCCGGAAGAGCAACTCTGGGGGGAGGCGCCCCGGAGTTTGAATAGCCGCTCTGGGTGGAGGGGCCCCGGAGCCTGAATAGCAACTCTGGGGGGAGGCGCCCCGGAGCCTGAATAGCGCAGAGCGGCTCGATCCGAGCCAGTTTGCGCACTTAAAGCGAGCGGACACGGCCTGTCCGTCAACAAGGCACTCAACTCACCGTGTGTGTTTATAAGAATGTGTGTCCTTACAAAAAGGAAAACTACCAGTGAAATAATAGGCTTACGTTTTCGTGCAATGGGCCTGTAATGGCAACGCAACATGAATGTATGTGGCCATTTCGGTATTTCAGAATATGTATTTATACTGGAGGAATCCGATGAGCTATAAAGCTCTTTTTCACAGATGCCCAGTAGGGGTGGGTAAGAACGTTACAACAACAAACAGGAGCTAAACACGATAGCGATGCAAAGTACAAGAAAGGTGAACAAATCACCCAAACACATACAAATACATCAATCACTAAACCATCCCCATCCTACCAGGCAAAGCCCACTGAGGCATTAACTGATTTTATCAGAAGTGACCTGGCCACAAATGATAGCTCAGTCAAAGTGGACCATCATTTGGACATTTAAAGCACCAACATAATCTCAATGCTTATATCTAAATCACTGACCAACGCCGCAGTACCATCCAATAACCGGTGGCAAGATGTTAACACATCCTCGACCGGTATACGTGGAGGTTGTGGGTTCGATCCCGACCCTGACGCCAGCTGTATGTTGGGAGTTTGCGGTGTCTCTCTCTCTCTGTGTAGTCGCGTGGATTTTTCTCCGAGTCCTCAGGGTTTCCCCTCCACATTTAGAATCATCATCATCACGCGTTTAGAGTATTTAGATGCTGCTATAAATTTCCACACGATAAGCCACTTTGTGGAGCTCATCGCTTGTCAACCCAGGTGGCTTCTGAAAAAGACCTGTGTAGCTCAAGTGAACCTTACCTGGTAAAATAAAATAAAAAAAATTGTACGAGAAAAAGTATGCGTTTACTGTGTGGGTTGCGACAGCTCGTCAGTGTGTAGTGTGTATTTTTTGTTACTTGTTACACTAATGGTCCCGTTTAGCCAGTTTCCCAGCTATTTTCCACGGGAGATCCGCGGCGCATGACCATAACAGCAACAATTGCAATACTGTACCGTTATTTTTAGCCGTTCCGTTATTTTATATACGTAAAATAATTTGTTTAATGTGATTCTGTACAGTGCAGAGTATAAGATTGACTCCTGCGACGACCAGGCCACCTTGAATGCACCCAATCTGGCCAGATCTTGAAAGCTAATCGGGGATTTCTCCGCATGGATCGTGTTGTGGGATGGGTTGTGAGCCGTGGATGATGACACACAGAGAATGTTCATAAGCTGCGGTGGGGCAGCAGAGGGCACTGCAGCAATGTTACAGTTCTATTGTTGAGCTGCACTTTGTCCACATTGACAGAGGCGTCTCTTGTCCTCAACGATAAATAGCTCAGAATGCCACCACCACCACAAGTCAGCAGGGCCAATAGGGAGGGGAGGGGGAAAATTTTCAGGCAAAACCAGGACAGTTCAACACGTAGGCTTTCGCGACCAATATTATCCATGATAGAGGTTTTTGGGTTAGATCGTGTAAATATAAATGTGTCGCACTCAAATTGTAAATGTTGTGGGTTTACTCTTCAACACACCGGGTGTGCTGTACAAGTAACGAATTGGCCACGTTTTGTTTACGTGATAAACCTTACTAATTGGCTGTGTCGGGTGGTGGCGGGTTTAACGACACTTTTATATTTACGTGATCTAGCCCCAAAACCTGTTATGAAAACCATGTCAGTTAACATCAAAGCAATCTAGGTAAGCAGGTCCTGTGGTTGATTTTTATGTATGAATGCATGTTGAACTTATTTTGCACCGTACATAGCCAACAATGTGAATCGGAGGTGTGGCGGGGACAAAACACAAAATTTTAGACCAACTTCAAATGCCCTGTGTGGGGTGGGGGAATATATTAAATCATTGCCACCACTTTAAATAACGTATTAACTAGCGTAGTATCAGACAGCGCAGTTGAAGTGGGAGGAAAGTATATAATCGTGGATTATATTGCTCGAGAAAAACAAGTTGGGGGCCACTGGTCTAGATTTGTTTTTATGTTTTCAAATATTGTATTGTAAACCTAATTGACTTCGTGTAACCCAGGTCATCGTTTCAAAAGAGACAATGTATCATGTGTCTCCAGGAACTTATAGTTAATATCATGCTTCAATAATTTAAAGAGGTACAGACACAAATACAAATAAGACCACACAAAAAATGCATTGTTGAATTGTGACCCCCGAGATGTGATGGGAGAGTCAGGATATACTGTTAAATTACTGAATTAAATTACTACCCTATACCATACCCATGGTCGAGTGGTGGTCATCTGTTCGATGCCTTGCCATAGCTAACATGACTTGTGCGTAAAATCTGAACTGTTGCTGAACCCCCTCCATCCTCACCACTTTACCATTCCACGCTGACTGCCACGGTAACGTGTGGTCAAACAACCACCATTGACCGTCATGTTGGATTGACAGGTTCTAAAAACTATACCCATCACAAGTTGTTGCCTATAGATAATTTTAGCTGGGAAAGTCAGGGGAGAGGGGTGGGGTTTGTGCAAAAACTGTTTTTTTCGCTGAAAGGAGAAGTTAAAAGCCATTGCAGAATTGCAGCAAGACAGTTTGTAGCAAACATGCACGTGATACTTGCACAGTAACATTATGGGCAAAAAGCAGCTGTTGTGTGCGCTCTTGTGCGAGACAAAAAATCGGTTTCAGCAACAGGCGGTCAAAAGAGAATATTTGACTCCTTCCTCGTTCACAAAAAAATAATCTAATCAAGTAACCTGCAGACAAGAGAATGATTCTAGGCCGTGGCCAACGCCGGTGGCGAGTGCTCTCCGAAGAAGAAAATGTTCAACCATTGCACATTGCCTACTGACAAGGAAAATGGGGAAAATGCACAGAGGAGCACGGAGAGATGCATCCTTCAAATGACACTATTTTCTTCGGAAAGAGGAATGACAGGCAAAGGAGGAATCACCCATTGATAGGACAGTCACCACGGAGGTGGAGTTATGAGATCAGCGCATGTCCAACAGCGAGATGGATTATATAGCTTCGGGATGCTGTTTGCAGTAGCGATGACAAAAGGAAAGACTTTATCCAGCAGTGGTTCGAACATTTTAATCATGGCTCGACAAAAAAAATATCCAAGTGTTTTCAATTTCTGCACGGCAGTCTGAGTTTAAGTTTGCTAGTTTCTTCAGGAATCTTTTCGTGGCAATCTCTGATATAGCAGATCTATTTGCATGATACTTGTACTCTACACCAGACCCCCAAATCACCACAGCATCAAATTTAGGTCAAAGTCCATGCCTTTCTCAATAGTTTCCATTCAATTCTTGAACCCCCCTTACCCACCCTTATCCACGGCAGGACACTCAAAAGGCAGATGCAAAGTCTGATTCTCCAAAGTGGCCGGTAAAATAATACATTCGGCCAATTGCAGCCATTACAATGGGCAGTTGCCAAAGTCAAGCGGCGTGTAAACTCAGAAAGTTTTGAGGAAACGCGGCCTGATCTTGGAGGCAGGCCACGTAATTGCAACCACCGATGACGACGCCACCCACGCGCGATCACTGCCACGGCTGTCCACCGCGACACCATCGCTGAGCACACCGAGAGGTCATGGGTCACGAGCGGTCATGCTCGTCCTCTGCAGATGGTTTCACTTCTGTCTTCATGCTGGAGCCGAGACGTCATACGCCTCTTCGAGAGCACTTCTCAACAGCAGGAGAACTCGACCGTGCGTGTACAAGACTCTCTGTTGACAGTGAGTATTCGTAGTTCAAGACATCTTGAGGATGCGTTTCACGCTGAATGCCCACATGTGCTTTGGCTGTTTAAGCCATCAAGGCAGCCGACCTTTAGACCTTTGACGAGTTGAGAACAGTGTTGATAATCGTTTCAGGAAATTAAAATACGGTACAGTGTCTCCTTTATACAGATGTTTTTTTTGGGTTAGATCGCGTAAATATATAAATGTGTCGTTAAACCCGCCACCACCCAACACAGCCAACTAATAAGGATTGTCAAGTAAACAGAACGTGGCCAATTCGTCACTAGTACAGCACACCGGTTGCGTGCTGGAGAGCCAAGCCACAACATTTACAATCTGAGTACGACGCTTCGCCAGTAATTACAACTAGCTTCATCAGGCGATAGCCAGATTTGTAAAGAAATCCTCCTGTCGCGTTCCTTAAATAGAGGGGTAGATGTGATAACCAACACTCGTGTGCTCTTCTTGCGCGAAGTGTACACTATCTTTTTTATTTTGGGAGCTAACATGTTTTTGTTTTGCGTGACCATTAAAAAAAAGAAACAGTTCAGTTAAAATTTGATTTCCTCTTTATATATAAAAAGGGCTTCGAAATGGTATGTAGGGGAAATGATGCATATTGTTGTCATTGTAAACATGTTCACATCCGAATTATGGCTTTCTAATTTGTTTGTTATTGTCTGTTGAGAAATGTAAGTGGGCTTGGCTAAGATGTAGTGCTATCATAATAACATCATAATAACATAATAACATCGTAATAACATCATAATAACATCATAATAACATGATAATAACATTATAATAACATCATAATAACATCACAATAACATCACAATAACATCATAATAACATCGTAATAACATCATAATAACATCGTAATAACATCATAATAACATCATAATAACATCGTAATAACATCGTAATAACATCGTAATAACATCATAATAACATCGTAATAACATCATAATAACATCGTAATAACATCGTAATAAACCGAATTTTTGTATCGCTCAATTCGCATTGAGTCTCAAAGCGCTTTACATAACAGCTTAAGTTGCCGAGAAAGTTTGTAAAATAATACAGGCGAGTTTCAAGACACGCTTAAAAAGTGTAACAGACTCAGATTCCCTATTGGATCGCGGAAGGGAATTTCACAATCACGGAGCCTGGCTGCGAACAGCTCCGTCTCCTATAAAACAAGGTCTGGTCTTTGCAATCATACTTCGACAAGAATGAGCAGATCTACATTTTCGCAGTGGATTATAAAACTTTAAGCAGATCGGTCAGAATGGTGACACGAAAGGCGGCCAATGGGGATAATGCATGCGGGGGGACAATGGGATAACGTGCAGAATTGAGATGTATTGTGGAATCGCTGCATCGTGAGCGACAATGAAGGCATGGTGAAGCCCTTCATCCAGCTCACGATGGCTCACGATGATAAAGGATATCTTTAAAAATGTAATTTGGACGGGCATAATAACATTTGGAAATAGCATCTATCGCAGGGCTTACGTGAAAATCGTAACGTTTTAATTGTCGACAGTTTGATGTTGCAATCGTGTTCTCATATTCGTAAATGTGAAATAGCACTGTCATACAATAATAAAAGCCCTACAATGAACAATCACTGACACGTCCCTGTTTCCTCTTTTTGAACCATGTACACAGGACTCTGCTTCTGGGAACACGAACTCTGAAAGCAACCCTACATCCTCGCAATCCTGACCGAGAAAGAAATAGCGACAACAACCAGAGCACATCGCGTAGCTTCCACCTGGCGCTACACACCGCCATCAACAAACTGAGGGCTTTGCTACCGGCCACGCGAAGAGCAGCACCATGGCAGCATCGTGTGCAAGGGCAAAGCTCCACCAAGTTTCCAATGATAGCTGCAGGCGCGTGCTCAATGCATCAGCCTTTTGGTTCTTGCGCTGCCTGTGGGACACGGCTACGGATTAAGGAACTGTAAGCAGATGCCCATAACGACTGCCAACTGTGTGCATAGAAATATCCACGAACTGGAAGAAGCCATATCCGACCTCCGTGGAGCTCCCGTGATACTAAACCTATCCAACAATGCCTTGACCGTGATAAGGAACAACAGCTTCATAAGACTGGGCAGCCTGATCCACCTGAGGATGGACATCAACCACATTTATGTCATTGAGGCGGGAGCATTCAACGGCCTTAGCCAACTTCAACATCTCAACCTGTCGTTTAATAACATCAGTAGGCTAATACCTGGTGCCTTCAATGGGTTAATAGATCTCAAACAATTGATCATTGATAACAACAGGCTTGAGCCCACACTTGAAATGTTCAAGCCCTTGAAAAATGTAATTCAACTGAGTCTCACCAACAACGAATTGTCGAACTTCTCGCGGGTCGTGGAGGCCATATACGAGTTGCCGTTGTTGCAATCACTCAATCTAGAGAGCAACAGGCTCACAAAGATAATTGTCGGAAAGGATCTGAGACTTCAAGAGACCGTGGAATTGATGTTTCTTTCAAACAACTCTATTGAGAGCCTTTCCCTTGAGCGCAACTTCTTAAATCACATTACTTCACTCGATTTGTTCAACAGCAGCCTCACGAATGTTTCAGAACTCGCGGGCCTCAACATGAGTAGCCTCTTACAGCTGAGACTCAGCATGAGAAACCTGAACGTCTCTAAGCTTCAAACGTTAAATAACATGTTTCCAAAAACACTCACATTTGCATATTTCCCATTGGGCAGTTTGCCAAATCTACATTTAGTTTGTCGGTTGAACGTAACCAGGCAGGTAATGTCTCTCACTCTGACGAATAGCTACATCTCAAACGTGAGTGAATCTTTTTGCAACTGTCGTGAGATTCAAAGTTTGGACCTTTCATTCAACAGAATCAAGTCAGTCGAGAAGTACAACTTCCTGAGCCCCAACAACACGTTGCATAATTTAACTTTGAACAAGAACCAAATTGAGGTGTTAGAGTCTTGTGTAAAAAAGGATAACTCCATATCTGTGATATGCACGCCTCTTCCTTACTTAGAAAACGTATTTATTAAGTACAACAATATATTTCAATTGGAATCTTACGCCTTCGTTCATATGAAAAACCTTCGCAAGCTAGACCTCACCGGAAATGACATTTTACGACTGAGCAAAAGACCCTTCCACGGTTTGCACAACCTCAGTCACCTGGTGCTGGCAAACAACGTCATCCGCAGCTTGAACGTCCAGTCGCCGTTTTCCCCGCTCGAAAATCTAAAAAGCCTTATGCTACGAAACAATCGATTGAAAATTCTGAATCGAAGTGTATTTTCCAATTTAACAAACCTGGAGATTTTGGACTTGGGTGGCAACGCTCTCTCATATCTTCATGGAGAGACATTTTCTGAACTTTCAAATTTGAAAAATCTCTACCTGGACAGGAATGTAATCCGCAGCCTGGACAACCGAGCTGTGTTTGCTGGGCTACATTCTCTGCGTGTCCTCGACCTGGTCAAGAACATGATTGTATACAACTCTCCAACCATTAGAAACCCACCCTTTGTTGAACTCAACAATCTAATTAACCTTAAACTGAGTGCCCAACAGCCATATGGTATGAAGAGCATTCCTAAAAACCTCTTCAAGGGGCTTTATGCTTTGGAAAAACTTCAACTAGGTGGCAACAAACTTTTGTTCCACGGAGGGCACCCTTTTGATGGCATGCATAACCTCAAATACCTAGATATTCACGATGTGTGCAGTGGCTTACAAATAATGAACAAGACAATGTTCTACAAACTTAAAAAATTATCCAGCCTAGACCTTGGCAACGATGGACTGGGTTCCATCAACAACCAACAGTTTCAGAACCTGACACACTTGGAAACATTATATCTCAATGATAATGCTATTCGTTATGTAACAGAGGAGTTAATTACACCCATGACAAACCTTCAATATTTAGACTTGAGAAATAATCCTATAGATTGCACTTGCGACAATGCCTGGTTTAAAAACTGGTCATTCGCCAGCAATATACAGGTGACCGGCCTTTACACGTTGCAATGTGAAGTGGGACATGGATTCACGTTTTCCTTTTTCGTCGACTTTGACACGTCCGTCTGTCATGAGAAGTTGGGAAAAGTCATGTTCATCTCGACGACCACGACCATCTTGCTCACCATCCTCATCCCGCTGGTGTACGCAAAGGTGCGCTGGCACATTATCTACGGCTACTACATGTTCCGAGCCTGGTTCCGCGACTACCGCCGCAACGCCGCGGACAAACAGGTGTACACCTACGACGCGTTCATCTCGTACAACTCGATGAACGAGGACTGGGTCATGTCTGAGATGGTCCCCCAGTTGGAGAAAGAGGGCCCGCCCTTTTTCAAGCTCTGCGTCCATCACCGCGACTTCGTGCTGGGCAAGTACATCGTTGACAACATCGTGGACGCGATCTACAACAGCCGCAAGACCATCTGCGTGGTGAGCGAGAGCTACCTGCTCAGCGAGTGGTGCTCCATGGAGATCCAGATGGCCTCTTACCGCCTCTTCAACGAGCACAAGGACATTCTCATCATGGTTTTCCTCGAAACGATCCCCAGCTACAAGCTGTCGGCCTACTACCGCATGCGCAGGATTGTCAACAACAAGACGTACATCGTGTGGCCCGACGATGACATCGGGCGGGAGCTGTTTTGGGCCAAGCTGCGTACGGCCCTCGGGAGGCCGACCCCGAGTGGCCGTGAGCAGCACGAGCTTCCGTGAGCTAGCAGATCTACGTTTTCGCAGTGGAATATAAAACTTAAGCAGATCGGTGAGAAAGGTTGACACGAAAGGCCGCCAATGGGGAGAATGCATCCAGGGGGGGCAATGGGCTAATGTGCAGAATTGAGATGGATTGTGGAATCAGAGGGGAGCCACGGGGAAGGGAGGGCGAGATGGTGGTGGTGGTGGGGTCAGGTTGCAGGTTGCTCAGCGCCTCAGAAAAAAAGAGCCCAGAGGTGCCTCAGAAACCTCCACACTCCCCACCTGTCACTTTGTCCCGGGGCGGTGACACGGCCAAGTTGGTGGCAGCACCCATAAATACAAATATAAATGTGTGTCGTTAAACCCGCCGCCACCACCCGACACAGCCTATGAGCAAGGTTTGTCACGTAAACAGAGCGTGCCGATTCGTTCCCAGTACAGCACACCGGTGTGTTGGGAGAGGAAATCCACAACATTTACAATCTGGAGTGTACGACGTTTCGCCAGTAATTACAGCCAGTGGTCACCGTACGTCAAAGGGGATTAACTGTGAGCAGACAATAAGAGGTAACTGCTATTTTCGTGCACACAAACGACAAGATTTACAATAACAATGTTTCATGCATATTGTGCATGTGTAGTGTCTTGTAAAATGGCTTAGTCGGTCACGTTGTTACAAGTCACCTGCTTACACTTTATTACCCTATTCTTGCACCAGTTGTAGGCACTCATATCTCTGTCTATACGGTCACTTTTGTTAACCAAGCTCTTCCTCTTAGCAGCTCCGCACTCACAGCTCCGCAAACAGACAGCAGCTCACACAGGGCTTGCACGCAGCTTCACTCACACAGAGGCTTGCACGCAGCTTCACTCACACAGAGGCTTGCACGCAGCTTCACTCACACAGAGGCTTGCACGCAGCTTCACTCACACAGAGCTTGCACACAGCAGCTCACACAGAGCTTGCACACAGCTTCACTCACACAGAGGCTTGCACATAGCAGCTCACACAGAGCTTGCACGCAGCAGCGCTCACACAGAGCTTGCACACAGCTTCACTCACACAGAGCTTGCACACAGCAGCGCTCACACAGAGCTTGCACACAGCAGCGCTCACACAGAGCTTGCACACAGCAGCGCTCACACAGAGCTTGCACACAGCAGCGCTCACACAGAGCTTGCACACAGCTTCACTCACACAGAGCTTGCACACAGCAGTGCTCACACAGAGCTTGCACACAGCAGCGCTCACACAGAGCTTGCACACAGCAATGCTCACACAGAGCTTGCACACAGCAGCGCACACACAGAGCTTGCACGCAGCAGCTCACACAGAGCTTGCACGCAGCAGCGCTCACACAGAGGCTTGCACACAGCAGCGCTCACACAGAGCTTGCACGCAGCAGCGCTCACACAGAGCTTGCACGCAGCAGCGCTCACACAGAGGCTTGCACACAGCAATGCTCACACAGAGCTTGCACACAGCAGCGCTCACACAGAGCTTGCACACAGCAGCGCTCACACAGAGGCTTGCACGCAGCAGCGCTCACACAGAGCTTGCACACAGCAGCGCTCACACAGAGCTTGCACACAGCTTCACTCACACAGGGCTTGCACACAGCAGCTCACACAGGGCTTGCACGCAGCAGCGCTCACACAGAGCTTGCACGCAGCAGCGTTAATGAGTTGGAGGTTTGCGCGTGTGCAACCTCACGTTGCACACGCGCACCTGCCTGCCTTCGGTTGCCCTCGGCCAGCAGTGCGCACCGCGTATTTTACCACACTACACATGCATAATGTACGTTGATTACCATATTAATAATGACTATCCATTGTAATTGATATTCATCACCCACCCCCTACCCCGGCATTCGCACAAGAAGGGCTGAACGTAACCAAGCTGGTAAGGGTTTAACGACACATTTATATTTACGCGATCTAACCCCAAAAAAACCTGTATTATGGATGATATTGAATCTTGACTTAAAGCTTTCTTGACTGCAGGAATTAATATTCTTTGGGTCTTTCGGTAAAGTCACGTAGACAGGTTAAAAGAAAATAACAAAAAATAACAAACAAAAAACTACGACGTTTCGATCACAACTCAAGGGATCGTCATGCTGCCTCTAGGCGAGTCGATATGCACCTGGGGCAGGATTGGATGGAACCTTCTCAAAGTTGATCCGAATGTGCTACAATATTCGGACCCATTTGAGTAGGTTCCATCCACCTCACGAAAACCTGTTACCTTCCGAACTGGACTTTCTCGAAAGTTATCCCACGTAATTATCGAAAAACTCAACACATTCGTCAATAACACCGTGCCCTTAAAAGGAATACATATATGAGCCGACGTTTCAGACGTTGGCCCTTTTTCATAGCACATACATTCATTTTCCTTAATTAACGTGTTGAGTTTTTTTTGTTATTTGTCTTTGTGCACCACTACCAACTGAGCAGCATCACCAAATATTTTGCTCCCATATTATTCGGACTCTTTCTTTCCAAAATCCGAATATGGCAGCATATCAATTCGGACTTTCAAAAGGCTCCGCGGTAAGGAGGTGTGAAGAGAACCAGGTTTTCAGGGGATACCGAGTCCGCGTTTGCGTGAAGAGCTGACAGGGACTTAATAACGGATTGCTTTGGCGTAGTGTGTGTGCAATGAGTGAGCTTCGTGATTACCGCGTGCAATACATTGGTGTTTGTCCAGAGTTTCGTGTTGTGGCCTAGCTGTTGATAGCAGTGTTTGGTGGTTCTGTACGCAATAATTCAGCCTTGACCTGATTTGTGTTTTTGCTTCTGTTCATTTGTACCCAGTACATATGGAACGTCGGTTGGCTCCAACGTTGCTCCAAACGTTGGCATGTGCTTGCATGTTTTTCTGGGTCATTTCTTGAGTTTGCACGGCTGTAAACTAACGCCATAATTCTGCTTAATACCTTCGTCTGCTAAAGGCATTAGCCATTTACAACAACTTTAATTGCAAGTGCCCAAAAACAGTGCAAAGGATTAGACGTACGGAACTAGGAGTACGAACGAGACGTGAGAGAAACAGTAGGTGTTCCTTAATTGTGTATAGGTACAACATATTCTCCTCTCAATCCAGATAAGGAGGGTACTGTGGGATGTCTTGCGAATGAAATCAATGGGAATGAGGTTATCTTGTATTTGTTCGTTGCTATAATTACCATCGCATCGTAAAAAAAAAAACATAATCAACATAATTCACCCAGATCGACCTTAATGGGCAAACCAATTTTTTTAATAATCGAATCGTCACCGTAAGCCCCAAATTAACTCGAATTCAAGCCAAGTAAATCTTGACTGGAATGGACGACCCAATGGCCATCACACGAGAGGGTGCTATATATGTGACCAGATGGTCCCACAAGGGTTAACATTGGCTAATTAGGAGTGAGACATTCGTTTAAGAAGCCACAATTTTTATTTTTTGTTAGTTTTATTCCCAAGCACCCATTTCCATCAGAGATCAGAGTGACCCCAAGCATGCATGCATCATTGAACTGTGTTATAGGCCAGTGCTTGACAGACAAACTTTGGCGCGAGTTTAAATCGGAAAGCGATTATATCTGCATGCGTGAAAGTCGTTTCGAATAAAAACGTGCGTAAAAAAAAATTATCGCCAGTTTTGTTGAAATTTATTTTTAAACTCATCCAAAAAAAAAATATCTCCCATTAACCAAATCGGGTTTTTTTTTCTGGCGACGGTTTTTACTCGTCGAGCGTCACTTTCGCGCGAGAACTGCATTAAACGTCTTGCCCGTGTGGGCCACGCGGACGTCACGAAACCCAGCCTTGGTAAGCAGCTCCGTGTATTCCGTGGCCGTCCGCTCCTTCCCCATGGTGTGCATCAGCATGATGACAGAGTGAATCTGTGCGGTTATTGGCCCGGTCCGGTCTTCCCTCAGCAGAGTCTCGATGATAAGAACCCCTCCGCCTGCAGCAACGTGAAACCGCAGTTGTAGATCGGCGAAGAAGGGAGGTAACATAACACATAGCCAAGATTAACTGCACAGAATTAAGACTGCCATGGGAATTGCTGAAAACAAGTGGATAATTTACCTACGTTTGCCATGATTTTTTTTCCCATATTCATTTCATTCGGATAAACGGAATATAATTATGGGGAACCGAGTCTCACCACGCCAAGCACAAGTATATTTAGGTACTGTACCGTATCTCATTGGCTGATTCAGTCCACTACCACGCACGGAGTGCCGAAATGACGTGGAAAGGGCACGATTGATTTGGCCAGAAACAAGTTCCATTTTTTTGCAAAGAGGGGAACAACGCTGTGCAAATACACCCCCACCCCCCGCGGACACTTGCTTGCTACAAGATAAAATCAATAACTGAGTGACCTGGCCGACAGCTGGAGTGGATGTTGCGGAGCAGCGTCAGGCACTTCTCTTCTTTCCAGTCGTGTAAAACCTGCGCCAGGATGTACAGGTCGCCCTCAGGGATCTTGCCCTTGAAGAAGTCACCTACGTGAAGCGTTACACACGAGCGCAGATTTTTAGCGATAGGGATAGCCTGATGACGGCCGCTTGAGTTGCGATCGAAACGTCGTGATTTGTTTTACTTTATTTTGTACCTACGTGACTTTACCGAAAGAACCAAAGAGTATGGATGCCTGCAGTCACGAAAGCTTCAAATCAAGAGAGGGAGACAAGGTTGATCAATAAAGTGACTGCTTTCAATTATGAGACATAGTGGGGATCGACCTGGGGTGATGACAACGTGCCAAACAAACAAACTGAATGTGATAACCACACGGACGTCGCGGTTTCAATTTCCCCCTGCAAATAATGGATTTGTCAGATTTGAACTGCATTCGGATATCACATGGCATATGGATGAGGCCATCTGCTACACCAATGGACGATCAAGAATAGTCCACAGTGTGAATGCAGTCTCAAATCTCACACCATTGACCGCTTAGTAATACCACTGCACACTTCTATAGCCCTAACTCTCAAAACGACATGCAATTAAAATATATATATATATTTCTTCTCCACTTTTGTCTCATGATGCTATGAGCATTTTGTTACGAAAACAAATTAATTAATTTGGAACTCTCTGAGAGCAGTGCATCACGCCGTGTTGAAGAACTTTCCAAAGAAGCTAAAGTAAAACCTTGGATTGCGAGTAACTTGGTCTAGCGAGTGTTTTGCAAGACGAGCAGAAAAATTTAAGCAAATATTAATTTGATAAACGAGCGAGGGTCTTGCAATACGAGTAGCACGTATACGCTTTGTCTGCCGAGCGTCACGTGATTACAACTGATACACGAGTGCTTTGATGTACGAGTGCTTTGGATTACGAACACGTTTCCGGAACGAATTATGCTCGCAATCCAAGGTTTTACTGTACTTCTGACATCTCTTCATGTGCTCTCTTATCCAGAGGGCCGTACTTTCCTATCGTGTGTGACAGTCAAAGACGGTATTTTTTTTTATTCTTTGGGCTAGAATAATCCAAATTAAATGCAAAACCAACTTGAATGTGATGGTGTTTTTTTGTTGCATTGGTCTGAGACCAACAACTAGCGACACATGAGAACTCGGTTTGATCAAAGGTGTCAGAAACCTACATTCAGAACCTGGATGTCAGCGGTACCATCTAATTGCTCTGACCTGAGCCATCTCAGCTTTGCACATTATTACAAAATATAAATATTCAGTGCCATGCCATGCGCCACGGCCGCCTAGCTAAATGATAATCACTCTTGAAAGCATATAGCATAAAATCTTCAGCAACGCAAGTGTTCAGCTTTGGATTTTTTTATGTTTTACGCTGACATATTTTTTACAACCGTTTCAGTTCCATGAGCTCAGGGGAAATTATAAAAAGATAACTATTTAAAAGCATATTCTTGGGTCTTTCGGGTAAAGTCACGTAGATAGGTTAAAAAAAAATAACAAAAAAATAACAAAAAACTACGACGTTTCGATCACAACACAAGCAATCGTCATCAGGAGAGAAAAAAGCGGAAAAACTGCTGAGGCAGGATGTTGTTTGTGTTGTGATCGAAACGTGGTTTTTTGTTATTTTTTTACTTTCTTTGAACCTATCTACGTGACTTTACCGAAAGACCCAAGAATATAAATTCCTATAGGAATAGGTTTTACCCTTTTAACTGGCACAAAAACTGACACCTTTATTCAAGGCATCATGTTTGCTATAACCACAACACAAGCAGTCAAAATGCTTGTGTTGGGTAAAACCTATTCCTATATGTTGTTACTTGAAAAGGAGGTCTCATAATGTAAATGCTCACCCCGAGCCCTCAATACTCTGATAGTGCGCTGTTTTTGAGTTGTATGCCTTTTGGCGTCTTCTGGTCCAATACCAGTGGAGACTAGGCTCTCAGAAAAGCTGTCTCGGGTGTGGACCAATCAAATTCAAGGACAGTGCATATTATTATCAGAGTTGTCTTTTTTGTTTGCATTTTGACTGCTTGTGTTGTGGTTATAGCAAACATGATGCCTTGAATAAAGGTGTCAGTTTTTGTGCCAGTTAAAAGGGTAAAACCTATTCCTATATCTTGTTTCTGGCAAAGGAGGTCTCATAATGTAAATGCTCACCCCGAGCCCTCAATACTCTGATAGTGCGCTGTTTTTGAGTTGTACGCCTTTTGGCGTCTTCTGGTCCAACACCAGTGGAGACTAGGCTCTAAGAAAAGCTGTCTCGGGTGTGGACCAATCAAATTCAAGGACAGTGCATATTATTATCAGAGTTGTCTTTTTTGTTTGCATTTTGACTGCTTCTGTTGTGGTTATAGCAAACATGATGCCTTGAATAAAGGTGTCAGTTTTTGTGCCAGTTAAAAGGGTAAAACCTATTCCTATATCTTGTTTCTGGCAAAGGAGGTCTCAAAAAATATAAATTCCTGCAGTCACGAAAGCTTTAAGTCAACATTTAAAAGTACACATTTTTTTATTTTACCAGGTAAGACCCACTGAGCTCTGACTCTTTTTAAGAAGCGCACCTAGCCACAAATGATAGCTCCACGAAGTGGCTTATCACGTGGACATTTAAAGCAGCAAAAATACACTCAACGCATGTTTCTAAATGTGGCGGGGAAAAACCGGAGAACACGGGAGGGGAAAATCCACACGAAGATGGGAAGCTGCAGAGCCCGTTTCGTCACCTGCGTGCAGCTTCACGTTGCCGGAGGAGAGGAAGTGCTTCTGTGCAACTTCCAAAACCTCTGGGAGGTCGAACAGGGTCACCCGAGCATCGGAGTACATTCTGGCAAACTGCTGAGCCAAAACACCCGTGCCTCCTGCACTCATGAAAGCAAGCACGCACCATCTTGTCAGTTCCTTTCTGCTGCTGCAATTTGACAACGGCCAGCTTACTCTCACTCTCGGTTTTTTTTTTACGACAGAGCCAAGACAAAGACTGCCCCCGTATAGCCGTAACAGACTGCATGAGCAAGTGCTGTTGTTAGCGAGCTACCTACGAAGGCCGGCACAGCACACGAGGGGGTAGGTGGCCAGCACCACGCCTATGTTTTCCCGAGTGCCGATGTTTACTACACACCGCACCAGGTACTCATTTTAGGCCGAGTCGACCTAGGGGGAGGCCCGGAACCCATTCAGATATTCGTCACCGGTGTTGGCCGTGAGCGGGAATCGAACCCGGATGACCGGGTTCGTAGCGCTGTGCGCTAACCGCCTCACCACCGCTCCCCAGTGCGACATTCTACGAGAGAGATAGACTCGCACTGACATTGGAAGATTTTTTTGGTGGAAAGTAATTTAGACTTTTCACAGCGATGGAAGCAGTATCCTTGATTCAAACAAGGAGTTCAACTAAAGGTCAAGAGACATAACATGCACTGCCTCAATTGCAAGGGTGATCTGGATTACACCAAGTAGTTAACAATACAACAGGATATTTTAAAAAAACACTTTCAATGTAAACACATATAAACGCTATTTCACGAGCGATGTCGGGAATTAACTCTTGTACAGTATTTGTTATTTGCACCACTGTAAAATGAACTTTGGTCAAAGAGCTGGAGTCCAGTCCAGAGTGGTGCACGACCAAGTGTGTAAAGATATTCAGTGCTCATCTGGTGGCATGCATTTTGCTGGCTTGTCGAAATCTCACCTCCAACGTCACAGACATCCTTGAAGGAGGAGAGATCGAAGGCATTGAGGATATAGGGTCCATCGTTTGACCAGACGGAATAAAAAAACCGCATGAACTTCATCCTCTCCTCCTCTGTCCTGCACACAAGCAACGATGCAGCAGTTTGACACATTAAAGTTGCTGGATAGCATCATCCGGATGACCGATGATCAAGAATAATGGAGTGGCAGCCAAGGGCAGAATGTGTCCAGTATCACGGTCACATCTCGAAGTGTCAATTAACTCGTGCAATTATTACATCACAAGATAGTGATATATGCCGGCGGATTTGGGGAGGCCTTCATCAGTAGATTAATCTTGATGATGATGACTATCCAAAGACCTTGTGAAATGTAAAAACAATGATGAAGCTTACCGGTACAGGGCCTCAAATAGGTCCTCGGATTGTACTCCAAAAGCTTTTTTATGCTGGTGTTTGCCTTCTCTGCGAGACAATTGGGCAAAATGAAAACAATTACCATGAGGCCTCCTTTGCCAGTAGCAAAATATAATAATAGGTTTTTTTACCCTTTTATCTGGCAACAAAACTGACACCTTTTTACAAGGAATCATGTTCGCATCAACCACAATACCTGCGGTCAGAATGCAAACAAAAAACAACTCTGATAATGTATGACAATGCAAAAAACAACTCTGATAATGTATGACAACGCATACATTATCAGAGTTGCTTTTTGTTTGCATTCTGGCCGCAGGTATTGGTTAATGCGAACATGATTCCTTGTAAAAAGGTGTCAGTTTTGTTGCCAGAAAAAAAGGGTAAAAAACCTATTATTATTATGAAAACAATTAGTTTTACCTGCTCGTTTAAACCTGATAATAAAACAAGAAAAGACTTTACTCTTTTTGGCAATACAGAGGGTTAAGATGTCAAAACACCAAATACTGTATACACCAATTACAAGGCGTCAAGTCTGCATTTAACCACACACATGATGATTTTGCTTATAATGTGTGCACAGCCCTTGAAACTGATTGGCCTACACCAGAGATAGCCTCCTTCATGGCTTTGTCTCACCAGTGCTAGACGAAAGGCTGCCAAAAGTGGTTTGGCCTGCAGTGTTGGTGAACGCAGCACATTGAATAGTTGTTTTCACGCATTGGGATGACTTTGCGGACAGACGCTAACGGAGCCACGGTGGCAAGATGTTAACTCCCTCGCCTGGTATACAGGAGGGTCCTAGGTTCGATTCCGACCCTGACACCTGTATATTAGGAGTTTGCATGTTCTGCCCATGGTGGCGTGAATTTTTGCCCGGGTCCTCCGGTTTTGACCCCCCGCATTATGAACCAACGTGCCTTTCGGGTATTTGGCCACTGTGAATTTTCCACGCGATTTAGCCACTTCGTTGAGCTGTCATTTGCAGCCAGGACGTTTCTGAAAAAGCTGAGTGAGCCTTACACATGGTCAAATATCGAAGTACAGTAAAACCGTGGATTGCGAGCATAATTCGTTCCGGAAACGTGTTTGTAATCCAAAGCACTCGTATATCAAAGCACTCGTGTATCAGTTGTGATCACGTGACGCTCGGCAGACAAAGCGTACACGTGCTGCTCGTATTGCAAGACCCTCGCTCGTTTATCAAATTAATATTCATTTCAACTTTTTGCTCGTCTTGCAAAACACTCGCTAGACCAAGTTACTCGCAATCCAAGGTTTTACTGCACTAGATAGAAGTAGAGGAGGCTTTGTTGCGGTCACCTCACAGCCGATGGGAGAGTCTGAAACAAGGGGTAGATAGTGTGCGAGTTGAATATCATGACGTCGTGCATGGACTTGGGGCTGGACCGGACCAAGTAGGTGCTCGCTTGATCCGTGTTGCGGTAAATCACTGTGGGAAAGAAATAGCGGTGAGGCTCACCATTGCAGATTTTTTTTTTAATCAGCTTTAATCAAACACAGAACCATTCTACCCTATGCTACCATTACGCAGGAAAGGACTCGCCGTTACAAAGAAGTGTTAATATTTTTACAAATTACACCAATCACATGTACAGCCTGTTTGACAAATCACTACTGGATAAGGGATCTCCCATGCCATGCAGGCAGTGAGGGTCATTTGACCAAACGTCACCACGCTGGTCAGTTTGAGTTAGCAAAGGTGGGAGTGAACGACAGATGAATGGATTATTGGTGGTCACCCATCCATGCATTATCCAGGCTCAAACCCGCTTAGCTGCCGACATCTGATGAGATTGAGTGCATCCTGGGTGATTGGCCATAGGCATCACGTGTATCTGGGTGAATTATTATCATAATAATTTATTATTTATACCACGTGTTCCATGTAGTACATCTCGAAGTGTCAAAACAAATGGGTATTTGAGATAACTGCTCCGTAAGGAATCAATTAGCAGACCAAACAGGGAATTCAAGTATGGACCGCATGCACAGACAAATGAGAATAAACAAAACTGAAAGGCAAAACCGTGCTGGAGATGACTATTTTTGTCCACTTCATTTTAGTTATTCATATGCCAACTGAAATAAATTATCTGCTTTATTGAAATGTTAACTACCTCGCCTGGTATGCAGGAGGTCGTGGGTTCGATCCCGACCCTGACGCCTGCTGCTGTATATTCGGAGTTTGCACGTTCTCTCTCCCCGTGGTCACGTGGATTTTTCTCCGGGTCCTCCGGTTTTTCCCTCCGTGTTTAGAAACACGCGTTTAAGAGTATCTGGCTGATAAACGTTTCCGCACGATAAGCCACTTCGTTGAGCTATCAGTTGTGACCAATTCGCTTCTGAAAAAGAGCTACATAGTTCAGTGGGCCTTACCTGGTAAAACTATTTTTTTTAAAATATATACAGTTTATATATATGCTTGGTTCTTTCGGTAAAGTCACGTTGAAGGGAAACAATAAAATAATAAAATATATACAAAACAATAAAAATTCTCACGACGTTTCGACCATAACACAGCCGTTTGTGTTATGGTCGAAACGTCGTGAGAATAACACAACCGTTTGTGTTATGGTCGAAACGTCGTGAGAATTTTTATTGTTTTATATATATTTTATTATTTTATTGTTTCCCTTCAACGTGACTTTACCGAAAGAACTAAGAATATGAATTACTGCAGTCACGAAAGCTTTAAATCAAAAAAATATCTAGTTGTTTAGAAATGACTGACGGCTGTGTGTGCACACATGTGACACAGCCCATTTTGCAACAGTGGTATACCTGTTCCCTCGTGTATGCTCACTCTCAGCAGGCCCAGCCCAACGCAGGCGTCCACCAGTCGCTCCAGACCGTCCTTGCTCACCGCTTCTTCTCTTCCTGCACCCTGCTGCTGCTGTTGCTGTTCTCCTACTCGCCCCATCTCTGCCACCAACGCTGCAACCGTCATGCCGGCACGGTCCGGGGTGTCCTCAAGGAGATCGAACACCCCCAGCTCGCAGGCTGTAAACAGGATCTTGGTGCAGGAAGCACAGACACAAAGCGCGATTCAAACAATTTGTGCGTGTGTTTGTGTTTTTTTTTCTTTCCGAAGCGTGATCCAGATTACTTAGGAATACTTGTGCCGCGCTTCCCATGTTTCAGTGCGTCTTGAGGCTCCACGCCCTATGGCCGCTGTCTCTGTGAAACACAACGTGAACGCGGCACTGGCCAGCAAACGGTTTGGGGGTGGATGTTGTTAAGTGGCTCCCATCGTTGATGTGCGAGCAATTGATCAAATTTGCACCGTCACACCGGCACACGTTGGCCGGCCGACTCTTCTTCAAACAACGGCACGGGATCTTAGACGTTCACTGCGAAGCAGGCGGCGCGTGGAATTTTCCCTTCGTTGAGACACGCACAGCGTTAACCAGGGCGGCCCCTGGGCTACAACAGCGAACCTTTGTAACAAACGGAAAACGCGTGCTTCACCGCAATGTTACTGCCCCATGTTATCACGACCAAAGCTGTCGATGCCAGCAAAAGCGTCACCAATGTTGCCTCCCCTTCCGCCAGATGCCTGCAGATGATGCGGCACATTTGACAACGCAACCTTCCAAGATCTTCCCGAAAAAAAAAATTAACCAACCACCTTCTATACTTCTTTCTAGATTTGAAGTTTTCGTGACAGCAAGGATCCATGCTCTTTGGTTCTTTCGGTAAAGTCACGTAGGTGGAAAAACAAAATTAAATCGCGACGTTTCGATTGCAACACAAGCAGTCATCATCAGGTGCGGCAACCACAGCAAGAAATATTTTTTTATCGAAACGTCGTGATATAATATATTTGATCATCTTATTATTTTTTCCCCACCTACGTGACTTTACCGAAAGAACCAAAGAATATGGACCATCTTTACTCCTTCGGTTCTTTAGGTAAAGTCACGTAGGTATAAAATAAAATAAATCACGACGTTTCGGGCGCAACACAAGCGTCCGTCATCAGGTGGGCAAAGCGTGATCTTCGTGATTTATTTTATTTTTCTACCTACGTGACTTTACCGATAGAATCAAAGAGCATGGATTCCTGCAGTCACGATCGCTTCAAATGAAGATTGAAGCACCTTCTTATTGGCTTTTCCCACTTGGCCGTGGAAGAGGTGGACGACCACTGCAAGGACTGTCTCAGTGGCTGGCTTAGCTCCTCCATTCTGCACACCTGCCTGCTGCCGAGTGCAACAGCATTTACCGTCATCGTATCTACAACAATTACGCATATATCAAAACACAGCGGCGTATGTGTACACAGCCCAGATATCGCCAAAGGTGGCACAATGGTTAACGCACCTTGCACACTCTGAACCCAGCGACCCGGGAGAAATTCTGGAGCTGTAACGAACGTCAAGTTGCGAGTGATATCAGTCCTGCGTCTGTCTCACCGCCTCCCACACCGTTAACCAAACCTGCACTCACCAACGTGGTAAAGTCTGGTTAGACAACCACGCAGTATGGAATGTCTTCATCTAGTAGGGACTAACGTGGTAAAGTCTGGGTTAGATAACCACGCAGTATGGGTATAAAACACATTCCTGCGGAGGGAGCTGGTAGGAACGTTGGGTTGCTCGGTCAATAGCCAGGGCGTGGTGTATTCCGCAAATATGCCCGACTGTGAGGGCGGGCACAAGCCGGCGTGAGTAGGTTAAACGTTGAGTTTTATAAGGGCACCACGGGGTGACCAGCCCCTCCCCACCCCGCCCCACCCCTCCCACCCCCCACTCAGCCCCACCCTCCCCACCCAGCCCCTCCCCACCCAGCCCCTCCCCACCCTCCCCACCCAGCCCCTCCCCACCCAGCCCCTCCCCACCCTCCCCACCCAGCCCCTCCCCACCTTCCCCTCCCCACCCAGCCCCTCCCTACCCAGCCCCACCCCTCCCATTTTTGTATGCACGACGGACGGACACAATAATCCCCTGTGGGCTGGTGTAATAACCAGGAGGTTCCTACACAGTATAATGAACTGAAAAGACCGATTCGTACAACAGGCCAATCGAAGCATGCACGATGTCCACCATGAACTTGATACTAAATATAGACGAATCGGTGCACGATTACCTACCCCAGTTTTAGATACCGTTACTTTGCGGTACAGGACCGTCGACCCCATTGGCAGCGGTGGATAAACAGACGCCACAAACGCGCAAAAAACGTTCTTCACTTTAGTGTGACGACATCACGCGTGTCCCTCTGTTTAAGACCGAAACGGGAGGATTTCTCCACAACTCGGGCTGTCGCTTGATGAGGCTGGTTGTAATTATTGGCGAAACGTCACGGAGCTCGATTGGAAAATGTCGTGGATTTACTCCTCTTACGCACACAACCGGTTAGTGCTGTACTCGTGTTTAAAGAATAAAGAAGCGCATTCATATTCTTGGTTCTTTCGGTAAAGTCACGTAGAAGGGAAACAATAAAATAATAAAAATATAAAACAATAAAATTCTCACGACGTTTCGACTGCAACACAAGCAATCATCATCAGGTGTGAAAACCACAGCAAGAAAATTTGAAAAAAAAAGCGCTTAACGGCTTAAGCAGTCTCCGACTCCTCTTCATTAGTAACGAATTGCCACGTTCTGTTTACGTGAAAAACCTTAGTTACTACTCATTGGCTGTGTCGGGTGGTGGGTTTAACGATACTTTTATATTTATCTAACACGATCTAACACAAAAAAACGTCATTATGAACATTCGTCACTAACACACGGCCGTAAAAATTTAAAAGAGGGGGGGGGGGGACACATAATAGGCGACGTTTCGGGCAATCGCCCTTCTTGTGCTGTATGCAAAAGAGAAATCTGTATGCATTTCATTGCAATGTTGTTGACGACTGTGTCGAGTTTCAGACAAGAGGACCGCAAGACGAAGACTCACCTTCGATTTGCGATAGCCATTGGCTAATTCCTGAATATATGTCGGGTAGTCGTCTTCCGCGGAAGCCTGCGGATTTTCGGTCGTCTGCTGGAGAGCCATCTGCTTTCACCTTCGGATATGGAAAGGGATAAAAAAAATACTAAGCTCAGAAATGGTTTCCGCACAACCAGCGGAAGAAAAGAGTTATTAAGTGCGACCATATACCGGTGAATAATCGTCGACTTAACGCTGCGGCTTACAGCTAGCCAACAACACGCGTCTCTACACCAAGCGCTCAAGATGCAAACGCCACTGACTCGCCTGACCGGTTGACGAAAGGATAAATATGGTAATTAATCCCTTGGGGCTCTCTGCTTTCAAAGAATGTAGTAAGCCTCAAGTGAAACGCACACACACACAAAAGCCTACCACGAAACGTGCAGTTTACAGCCGGTTTACAGCACTGGGTGTGTGTGTAGGGGAGCGGTGAAATCTATTTGAAAATCGTGTGGGTTCGTTAGTGCATTTCATTTGGCAACACGGGGGCCTGGCTGTACAGACATCGTCAAAGGTCTCTCTACAGGTCCTTTGAGTGTACACATTCTCTGTTACAATGGCACGTGATAAGTGACACATTAAAGTTCTTGTATCTTCTTTGGTTCTTTCGGTAAGGTCAAGTAGAATGAGAATAAAATAATAAAGTAACACAATAAAATTCTCACGACGTTTCGGCCACAACGCAAGCGGCCGTCTTCAGGTGAAAGGTACAGACCTGTCGGGACGACAGAGACATTGAAGAGACATTGAAGCTCTGTCGTCCCGACAGGTCTGTACCTTTCACCTGAAGACGGCCGCTTGCGTTGTGGCCGAAACGTCGTGAGAATTTTATTGTGTTATTTTATTATTTTATTCTCATTCTACTTGACTTTACCGAAAGAACCAAAGCAGATTAATCCTTGCAGTCACGAAAGCTTAAAATCGAAAATGTTCTTGTAGGTCCGATGCACTTCTGTTTCGTAGTGTCTTCGGTGATAACTTTCGACAAGTTGGTACTGCTGCTGCTGCCACGTGTCTCGACAAACGCCACAATCACCCCGCTTGTTTCACGTCGCACTACGTACAGCCACTGGACAGCTGTCATTAGGGGCCGTACATAAATGACGTCACGCACCTAAAGGGGGGGGGGGCTGTTTTAGAAATGTGACGTCACATCAAAATGCGCAACTTTAAATAAATATAGACAACACGTTCTGCTTAAATAAATAGACGTTTTAATAAATGTCTTCTCCTACAACATCAGAGTGCAGCGCCACATTAAATACACACTACAATGACAATAGTTTAAAGCGATTTGAAGCATGTTTGATTTTTTTTTGGGGGGGGGGGGGGCAGAGCTTTGTGACGTCATATTTGAGGGGGGGGGGTCTGACTTTTTGTAACGCCTTGTGACGAGAGGGGGGGGGGTCAAAAATCGACCAAAATCGCGTGACGTCATTTATGGACGGCCTCTGACTGATACGTTAATTATTTAGTTTAGCCTGTGCCCTAAAGCAGCGGTCCCCAACCTTTTTGGCATCAGGGACCGGTTTCGTGGAAGACAATTTTTTCACGGACCGGGGGGGGGGGTGGTGGAGGATGATTTCGGCATGATTCAAGCACATTAGATTTAATGTGCACTTTATTTCTATTATCATTACAACATTGTAATATATAATTTAAAAATATTATATAACTCACTATAATGCAGACTCAGTGGGAGGCCCTGAGCTTATTTTCCTGCAACTAGACGGTCCCATCTGGGGGTGACGGGAGACAGTGACACCCGAAGTGTGTTGATTGTGTCCAGTCTACTCTGTCATCCCGTTCTGGTTGCTGGCACTGCAGAAAACCCCTGCTTCACAAAGATAGGCTGTTGGAAATGGAAGCAGGCTTTCCGGTGCTTTTGTGGCAATCTCAGGATATTCCGCCTTGACTTTAATCCAGAATGCACGGAGATTTGAAGTTGTCTCAAACATACTGTTAAGGCCACCGTCATTTGCCATCTCAAGCAGCTGATCCTCTTCTTGCACGGACAGAGTCGATTCGCCCGGCTTATTCACAAATGGGTCGCGGATCCATTCCTTCCCAGTTCGGGGGTCTTTTGTGTTTGGGAAGTAATGCTCAATCTCTTTCACAGATCTCTGCTCATGTTTGAAACATGTCAAACGTCCCAAATGTTCACTCGTCGCCCCCATAATTCCAGTTTGGCATTGAATGCGGCCACTTTATCTGCCGACTTGAACACAATTGTCGTTCTCGCCTGAAGTGACAGATTGAGTTCGTTGAGCAGGTTGAATATGTCACACAAGTAAGCAAGTTTTGCGACCCTTTCTGTGTCACTGAAATGTGCTGCCAGTGGTGACTGCTTTTCTAAAATATATATATCTGGAGCGGCTCTCGTAACTCAAAAACCCCTGGCCAGTGATCTACCTTTAGAAAGCCATCTCACTTCTGTGTATAAGAGAAGACGTGCGTGCTCTGCGTCCATCTCCTCACAGAGCTGCGCGAACAGACGCGAGTTAAGGGCATGCGCTTTCATGTGGTTGATAATTTTAATCACATCCTGCGAAACGTTGTTAAGTTGAGGTGACATTTTTCGGCTAGCCAGCATTTCTCTATGGATGACACAGTGCGTAGACTCACATTCAGAAGCGACCACCTTGACTCGAGTAGTGAAACCAGAAAGCCATCCAGTCATGGCAGCCACTCTGTCCGTGCACATACCGACACAAAATTACCAATTCAGTTTTCCTGCTATGTAATCATTCAAAGACTTGAATAGTTCTGCAGCTGTGGTGTTGGTTGGCAACAAAAGTGCACGTAACATACCCTCATGCAGATCTTCCTGAAAAAGATATCGCACAAAAACAAGCTTTGTTGCCTTGTCAACATCCGTAGACTCGTCAACCTGGATTGCGTACCACGGTGACTCATTAATCACCTCTAACAATTGTGCCTCAATATCCTCTGCTATTTCATCAATTCGTCTAGCTAGTTATGGTGCTAGCCGAAAGAGGAACACGTGCCACCTTTTGAACTGCAGCCTCTCCTAAAAGTTCACGACAAATGTCCTTAGCAGCAGGCAGGATCAACTCTTCACCAATAGTAAAGGGCGTCTTAGCTTTAGCAATGCGGTTAGCCACTAAGAATGATGCTCTCCGTGCAGAGACACATTTGATGAAGCGGTGGCCTTCTATAATTTCTTCCGTTCTTCGTGGTCACGTTTTTTTATTTAAAAAAAAAACTCCAAAGGCTTATCTTTTAATGCAGGGTGCTTGGTCTCCATGTGGCGAAGCAGTTTTGAAGGTTTCATGGCTTTGTTGGCTAGCCGGTCGCCACATATTATACAAAGCGGGCTTGGAGAATGTGAAGCAACTGTTGCAATGAACCCGTAATTTAAGTAGGACTCTTGATATTTTCTTTTAAATGCAGCTTTATTTTTGTTGGCAGTCTTAGAGTCTTCTGCTGTCTCATCATTGGCTCTTTTCCCCCTTTTCAAAGAAGCTCTCCAGCGACGTTTGTTTTTTACTCATTTTGGCCACTAGGGGTTAGAGCTTGTGGGCTTACCAACACTGTGACTGAGACAAGTGCGCAGTGCGGGAAAGAGGCGCGGACGGAAGTGGTAAATAAAATAATGTGCGGGCCACGAGCGGACTAAAATTATTGTCGGATTCTGACTTCTCGTAAGGAGCGCGCAACCTAGACCCCTCGCATGCGCAGTTTACAGTCGGGTTCGCGCTCCTATGAGAATCTAATGCCGCCGCTGATCTGACAGGAGGCGGAGCTCAGACGGTAATGCGAGCGATGGGGAGTGGCTGTAAATACAGATGATTAAGCTTCTGTAGGGGAGGCTGACCCCCGGCTCCTCACTCGTGTGGGATCCGCTGCTCCGCTCTTCCTGGGGAGGGTCACTGCTCCCCGACTCTCTTCCTCTCGCCGCGGCCCTCCGAGTCCACGGCTTTGCCGACTCCGCGCCCTCTGTATGGGGCATGACTCACGGCTGGCGCTTAGCCACCTGGGGTCAATTCACACACTCTCTCCGTACACTCACGAACACACAGCCACCTAAAATCCGACGCCGCTCCTCTCCCGTGCCGCGCACCAATCGCACGCACGGAACGGGGGGGGGGGCATTGACGTCACTCGTACACGCGTCGCCGATTGGTGGGGGTGTCTCGGAGATTATTTAAAGGGCTGTATGAATAATCCCACGTGTACCCGGGCGAGTCCACCATCGCTCACCGCGGGCACACGTTAAACAAAGGCCGTATGGATAATCTCGCGTGTACACCGCCCGTTTGCCTCACGCACACATTAAACAAAAGGGCGTATGAGTAATCTCACGTGCCCCTGTACGAGTCCGCCGCCGCTCACCACACGCACACGCTAACCACGAGCTACACGCATGGGCAAGCGCAAACACGTGGGTCCATACACACTCACGCTCAAACACAGGGTACAACGACGCAGGAACCCCCGTCGAGCGCGCACGCAATGGCCGCCTCAACAGAGTTACCCGGCGGCAAATCCCCGTACCACGACGAGCGGACTCACACCACCATGCGCCCGTTCCACACTCGCAGAAACCACACGACAAGGTTTATTGATCACCAACAGTTTATTCTCAGCAAGTCCAAGGCTAAATATTACGTAGCCCGGAGTCAATATTAGTAGAATAACTAATCTATACCCGACGGTCTAAGACCCAATATGTCCCGTCTATTTTGAATTAACCTCCCTAGGCTTTTACGCTTAAATCCCCACTCTCTCTCTTTCGTACTCACGGTTCGCCTTGGATGCGCGGGCCGTCGAGGAGAGACGAGGCTGCACGAGGTTCTTGCTGGGAGCGGGGCCTGGCTTCGCTGAGACTCGTCACACGGACGACCCAGTGGCCGGCAAGCTGACTGCTCCGATGGCTGACTTGAGAACGCGAACTGCCCATCGTCGCTCTCCTTTCCAATTTTATCCCTCTCTACATCAAAGGTCTGCCCGGCTAACCCGCGATACCCCACCGCCATTGGTGCGCCCGCCTCGGTGCCTTCACAGACATCCGCTTCCCTCTCTACCCATCAACAGGGGCCGCCTCTGGGCCGTTGCCATTGGCCACGGCGTGCAAGCATACTTTTCCGGTCAATCAGATGCTTCCCCTGGTGCTCGTGTGGACCTAACCGCGGTGACCGAGTCGCCTCGTCGTGACCATGCAATTGCACATCAAATCACGGCTCCGCAGTGTAATTCAACCTGGGGGAAGTCGGCCAATTCCCTGGCCCCAGGAAACCGTGGGGGATGTCCCTACAAAGATAGCCCCTGGGTGAAAACCTGGAGGCCAGGTGACTTCCCCACGAGGTCCTACGTGGGGGGTGTGTTGTGGTGCCACAGCAGCGAAGCCGCTCCGTCGGAGCCGTGCCTGCCACTGTGATGCCGCAGCAGCGAAGCCGTCCTGCCGACTCCGTGGCCGCGACGCCGCCACCTCCGAGCGACGGGGCCGACGCTGCTCTTCCCTCACCACCCCCCACATGAACACACACACACCCCCACATAGAGCCCCGAGGGGAGGTCACCTGGCCGACAGGTTTTCACCCAGAAGCGCTCTCATGGGACCAAACTTCACGGTTTCCTGCGACCATGGAATTGGGCAACCTCCCGCGAGGTTAGCGTGCACCGCGGCGCCGTGACTTGGGTTGTAATTACCTGGTCACGACGGGGCTGCTGAGCCACAGCGGATAGGAAATACCCACAACACACACGGGTCAGCAGGCAGGTAGGGGGTGGGGTGGAGTAGCGAGTGGCGGGAAGGCAGGGGGCCCTCTCCTTGCACAACGTGTGCGCTTGTTTGGAAGGTAAAAAGCAGACGTCAGAGAGAGCACCGACCGGATTAGCGAGGAGCGGGAAATCCGAGGCTCCTGATTGGACGAGAGGCTAGCAGATTAGCGGCACGTTATCTTTGATGTTGGGACAATAAAAAGGGCAGGGAAGGTAGGGGCAAGTCAGTCGTGTTCTTCTGGGGTCAAGGATCGGAGGATTCATCGTGCCTGCCACTGGATCGTCCGTGCGACGAGTCGCAGCACAGCCAGGCCCCGTTCCCAGCAAGGACTACGTGCAGCAACACCTTTCCACAGCTTCCTACACTTCGGAGTCGAACCGTGAGTACGCAGGCGAGAGGTGAGATTCAGGGGAATATCCTTAGGGAGAGTGATTAGGGAGAGACGAGACAGATTCAGGCCTAGACCACCGGGAGATAGGTTAGACCTGCCCTGCTGGCCCGCACTGACACGGGTAGTTTAGTTTCGTTATTCGCGGAGAATAAATCGCCAGTAGTCAATAAACCTTGTGTCGTCCCTGCGAGTGCAGAGAGAAGTGCATGGTGCTGTGAGCCTTCTCGTTGTGGTATCCTGTGTTCACGCACGAGCGTGTATTTTACCCGCATGCGCGCGCTCGCCGCTGCGTGTAGCTCGTAGTTAACGTGTGCGCGAGGTAGACGGGCGGCGTGCACGCGAGATCACCCGTGCCGCCTCTGCTTAACGTGTGCGCGAGGTAGACGGGCGGCGTGCACGCGAGATTAGCGGTGTAGCCCGTGGTTAGCGTGTGCGAGAGGCGCACGGGCGGCGTACCCGCGAGGTTGTTCACACAGCCCTTTAAACCTGCTCCGGGGCACCTCTTCCAAACGGCCGCGCGAGTACGAGTGACGCCCCTGCCCTCCGACCCCCGAGTCCGGGTTCCGCGCGTGCGATTGGTGGGCTGCGCCGGGCAGGTAGCCGCGTCGAATTTTGGTGGCTACGCGCCAGCCCTTAGAATCATGCCCCGAGGGGCCGCAGCGAAGGGGGGGGGGGGGGGGAGTCGGTGAGCAGTAACCCGCCCCAGGACACGGAAGAGGGGAGCAGTGGATCCCACGTGAGCGAGGGGATGGGGGTCAGCCTCCCCGACAGTGTGTGTTGTGTGTGCTCATTTGGGGGGTGGTGAGGGAGCAGCAGCGTCGGCCCGGACGCTCTCCCGTGGTGGCGTTGCAGGCACGGCTCCGACGGAGCGGATTCGCTGCTGTGGCACCACACTTCACCTGTAAATACAGATGATGAAGCTTCAGCACTTGCCCCAACAGTCTGTTAAAGCTACACGGGGGAGCTTTGTCTTTGTTTTGGAAGAGGGCGAGGAGGGAACGATTCGAGTTCCACTGGAATCTTGAAATCCTGCATTTCACTGACCGCACCCCACTCTGACCCCCACCTCTCCCCGTGCCAACAAAAATGTGCTCGGAGCAATGCTGAGCCTCGACCTCGAGGCGACTTTGCCACGCAGATGCGGCGCACAATAAGGGGCCGTTCGTAAATGACGTCACGCGCTGCACTCTGATGTTGTAGGAGAAAATATTTATTAAAAAGTATATTTCATTAAGTAGAACGTGTTGTCTATATTTATTTAAAGTTGCGCATTTTGATGTGACGTCACATTTCTCAACCCCCCCCCCCTCGTCACAAATGTCTGACCCCCCCCCCCGCAGGTGCGTGACGTCATTTATGGACGGCCCCTAAGGAGTCATAGACACGAATGCATCTAACCCGACACGAAAACGACAACGGTTGGCCTTACAGATTAGTCCCAAACCCCAACCATAGACCCCCCCAACCTTACACGAATACCAAAGAAAAAGCAGTCTTAGGCAATACAGTTCCTAACCCCAAACATAATCCCCCAGCCCGACACGAATACTAAAACAGTGGCATCCCCCTTCGCATTTCATCAACTCGGAGAGCACCGAACGAAGAGTGAATGAGCCCGCTAACGGGCAAGCTCAGCCCTGAGGAGATATTGTGAAGGTCGTGTCGAGGTTACGTGGGGGGAGGGGAGGGAACACGGCAGCACACTCGCGAAATGGCATTGGTGAGATCACGGAAGAGATGCCGGGACCCACACGTCCAAGAGAAATGATGAAAAACGACGTTGGTAACGAAGGCGCGAAAGTGCGCATTGGGGATTGGAGTAAACCCAAATGAAAGATACTTGGATGGGAAAACAATGAAGAATAAGGAGGCCGTGAGGTTACTGATGATCCGGAGTGCAAGGTTAGATAAAGGGCTGTGTGCCGAGAGCTCGGGGCACCGGGAAGAGCTTCCTATGAGCGTTGCTGGAACAAACAAAAAAACGTTCCCTTGCCAGGGATCGATCACTCGTGCGGACTACCTTTCAATATGACGGGATGACATCTCTGGTCGATGGTTACAAGATCCGCAGGGACAGACGGCACTCATCTGCGTGGACAGTATTGACCCCCTCCCCCCCCGCCTTGACCGTAATGTGGTACAGCCCAACACCGTTTCTTCTATTCTTACCTTGCGTTAAGGTGTCCTCGCTTTGACCATTGCAACAAAGTAACAACGATGCTCCAACGGCAGACTCTCATTGGCCAGGTGAAAATTGGTTATCGGTCATTCATTAAATACCTTTATTAACATTCCCGTGTTGAAAGCCGATCAGGGGGATTCGATGTGCCCAGTTCATTTCGAGCGTTGTACGGGTTTTAGGAAGTGCTCGTTTAGGATATAGGCCAGCGGGGTCATCAACCTGCGGCTCTTTAGAGGACTGCTTGATGACCGTTATTTATTAAGGACCGTCGTCTCGTATTCACGTGCATTGGCGGCCTTTTATATATTTAGGTGGGGACGTTTAAAAAATAAAATCTATTTTGTTGTTATATCGCACTTATCCTGGTTGCCAACCCGTGGTTGTAGACTTTGCGGTAGCCCGCCCCAAAAAAAATAAACGTATTTTGTAGCCCTCTATGCCTACACACCCTACATACAATAGAGTCGATATTTATTTTGTAGGTATTTATGTCTACATCTGTCTGTCGCCCCCCCACCACTGTTCAGACGTCTCAGTTTGACTGCTCGGTTTGGTCAAGGCTGGTGGTAAACAGGCGTTGTTGCTCTGTTTAAATAGGACTGCACATCAGTACGAGCGAGTAAAATACCTTTACACAAGTTTAAATTGTGTAAATTTCTCTTTGCATCTAATGAACGTTGAGGTACAACCCAATAGTATCTGCACACATTGGGGGGGGGGGGGGAGAGGACATCAGTGGGGGCCACGGGCGAGGCGCGCGGCGCCGAGAAGCCCTCTCTGCAAGAGCTAGAATTTCGGCGGCCAAAGTCCAAAATTCTAGCCCCTTATAAAGCTCCATGTGGTTCTGCAGTTCAAAGACTTTTCAATTCGAGTCTATACAAAACAGGAAAAAAAATATTCGGAAGTAGGAGCGTAACCACCGAAAATTACCGCTGGCAGAGGCAGATATGAGCACTCCCAAGGAAGCTTCTGCAGACTTCTAAATTCAAAACTGCCAACCATCGGCAGCAAACCTACCGTGTTGACTCTCTGAAGCGACCAACTCGACACATTGTTTTCCTTTCACTCGAGCTGTCTTTTTCACTTGAACTGTCTTTTGAGGATTTTGACCATAATATGATTTTGGTGTGTGGCTTGTAAGGTCAGAAGGTTAGGCTATCCCTGGTTATAGTAATTTCGCACAAGCAGCGACGGCATTTCTTAGGTGGCGGACTGATGCTGTTGCGTCATATGCAAGTCTTATACATCGGGTCGCTGGTTAGTTGCATTTCAACCTTGGGTTTCACAGCTTAGTACCCACACTTTGAACAAGATATTGTCGATGTTTAGTTGTGATGCGGGTAGGGAGGAACCAATAGTTTGAAGCGAATGGCCTGACAAGGGTATTCAAGTCTGCTGTATTTTGACCTCACATTTCAATGATTTAATATTCCTTTTTTGTTTCCATTTGATAGTTGTGTAATCGTACTTAATAGGTGATGGTGGACCAAACATAATTTATACGAAGCAAAATACAACACAAGATGTAAGCACTGACGTTTCGTGGTCAGGAAGGCTTCCGATTCGAATACTCTCTACCAAGACAGCATGTACAGAGGAATCGGTTTGCATTCCGAATGCCTTTCGTAAGTGAACAAAATACTCCATCAACAATGCTCACGTCAGAAAACAAGATATGGCATTCCCATTTCAAAGGGAATTCCGAATAATACCTGTAACTATATAAAACACAGTTTTACATAAAAAGACCTCAATGCCAAAAAGCTACATAAGGAGAATTTAAGTTTTTTTTAATTTTATTTATAGGTTTCAAACACAGGTCAATAAAATACATTGCATGCTATTGACAGGCAGCCTTGAGTCGTTTTAAATAATCGGAATGTTGAGCATAGATATGAGCAAAGAACTCGTGATTGCACTTTCCTACCCGATATGAGGCTGCTGCTATGAGGCTGCTAAAGTATGACTCCGCACAAGGTGATGCATATTATTGGCTGTTTTTGGACGTCCGTCAGATCAGCATAGGCGAAGCATCGGCCACGAAAGAGTACAAATCCTTAAACTAGACACAAATAAAGATCAATCTCCTTTAATTATACTTTTAATTAAATGCCTTGTTACAGGGTGCGAGGATTGCCGCTTTGCTTTGTCTTGCACACGTTGTCCCCTTTAGTAGTTGGGTAAGGCTGCATTTATTGCATAGGATCGTCTTCGGTTGTGTAACCATTTGTGAATAAGACAAACTCTACGCACGTCAAAAGGGAACCCGTGATTTTAACACAGAAACTGACATGCGGTTGCAAACAACTTACACAGTCTACAATGAGCTTCCCAGCCACCTACTTGTGTTACACATTTGAATCGTCTTGACTTATTTCACAAGAACAATGTATCGTATCAAAATGTTTGATTCATCAGCGCGGGTAAGGTACATAAAATGACTTAATGTATCTAACTTATTGCCCTTTACAGCCATGTTTTAAGCATGTCAGGACTAGTGCTATAAACTTGCAGCAACATGGAATTAGTACCGATGCTTGAAAATAAAAGGCAAAAATTACAAAGGAAACTTAGAGAGACTTACACTGTCAATGAACGGGAACAATACAATCCAAAAAATCATTGCGATACAACTGAATATTTACTAAATACAGTACAGTAATTCATGAGCAATGATTGGATTTTAAAAATGTCTCTGTTGCTCAGTGACAAACAGGGCCTGATTAGCCTGTTAGTGGCAATAAGCTATGTTCTGTGGATGTTTCTGCAAAAGCATGCGTCAGGCAGAACATTTTCATTTTTGTTTATTTTCCTTAACCCATTATTAATTGTGCAAGGTAACAGAAGCAGCAACATTGCTACGCTGCACAGGATTGAGAGGAATTAGATCGGACAAACATTTTTTTCCACACTGGCCTCATTTGCAATTTCTCTACCCACTTGGGATCCACCGACAAATTTCCTATGCGCCGAAAGCGCTTCCATTCTTGCGTACAGCACAGGTGAACAAGTTGATACATTTGACAAGTCCGTAACTGAGACTTCAAATGGCAACTACCTTGGAAAGAAAACAGACGTGGTCATACAAACGTTAAAAAAACAAAAAATGTTATTTGCAGCAGCTTATATAATTGGGTGGTCAGAGGTCCTTTATAAAAAAAAATCCTTTTTTTCATTATCAAAACATTCACCTTGCTGTAGTGATCTGCTCATTTGGCAGCCACAGGGGCCACATTCTCAAAATCAGCACCTCGATGTTGTTTGCAACTGCACGTGGGCTTAAAACCAGAATGGCCACGCACAGGCACGACACTCGCACTGATCGAAGAATCTGTAGCCTCACAAAGTATTGGTGCTACGACAAAGCAGGGAAACGTTTGGCTGTATAAGTTTGCAACGTTAAAGCAGTATCGCATTTCATAGCAATGGATTATACCGGTCATTTGAATTACATACTTGAAACCTTGCTTTTTATGTTAACCGAATTGTGGAGAAATATTCAGACCCCAGAGGAATATGGGGAGACACTTTAAGATATCCATAACATATTGAAGAAATACCCCCAATACTCATGAGTACTGGCTACAAGTGACTTCCGTTGACAAAGTTGTAGTGATTTGCTAAAAAATAAATGTTTCAGTGGCAGTGAATTTACGTGCTGTGAAATAATGGTTTAAGCAGCAAGAGGAACATTCCTTCCTGGTAGGGGTTAAAACCATGAAACAAATGGCCTAAGTTAATTGCCCTTTTCAAGAATGTGTGTCAAAATACATTTCCTAAGCTTCACTTATTGCTCTCCATGTCAGGCCACAGACATTCAATCACCTCTTGTAAATAACAGACACTTCAAATTCCTCGCTCATGGCAAGTTGACACTGACCGATCAATTTGGCCTCATTCAGTCAAGACACACAGGGACATCAAAAGCCTGCAAATGCCAACCACTGGATTTTGAACAAACTTTTGTGCCATGACTTTCAATAGGTGTGGTAATGGTAGTGTTTTGTAATGTAAACAAGTTAATGGTTTTCTTAGTGGATGTTTATTCTTAATTTAATAGCATTCGATTTGCCCAGCGCAAGGTACGAGAGATGTTTGTTCTGGCAAGTTCACTCGAGAATGCCAGTCAGGAACTTAAACCCAGCTGCGCTTGAGAACGTGGTTTAAATCTTTCAGAGGCCCCCCCCCCCCCGAGATTCAAACCAATGACTCCCAGAGGTGCTGGCTCAACACTGAGACAAAAGTGTTAGCAATCCATGCCACCCGTCCTCGTTGATAAGCCAAACTTTTTGCGATGCATCAAGACGTGACATAAAAACCCAGGGGAACCGGGAAGGTCTGGTGAGTGCAAACACATTATTGTTCAGTCCACGAGAGCACAACTCCCGCTGATCCCTTTATAGTTTACTTGGGGCACGACGGCACACCGCAGGAGTGATGTGTGCTACAACTCAGCACATCATCAGCCTTAGGCGAAGGAGGAGGAGGCACTGTCCGCATCTTGCCGAATGTGAGAAACCTGTAGTATGGGCAGCAACAGTGCGAAGGCATCCTGGATGTACGTAGTGCTGTTTGAGGCCTGCGTTGAGGTAAAGGTTGGGGATAACAAAGGATTTGGGCAGAGAAAGAAAAAAAACCCATCACCGGCAACTCGGAGAAATACTGGAAGTCCTCTATTTACGTTGCTCCTATTTACGTTGATTCACTTACATTGTTTCGTAAAATTGAAAGAATGCAGTCATATGGGCCGCGTGTGCATAACGACGACGGCGCGCTACGCCAACAGCGACCTCAAGTGAGGGCTCAAGCCTGTGTTTACAAATCGCCATACTGTACGCTTTGCTACCCTCTCTAAATGCAATCTCCGCAGCAATCTCAGGTGAGTACTCCGTATTAAACATGACCCCCGGTAACGTATCCAAAATGTATATAACCTTAAGTCAACGGTAAATAGGTATAAGGGGTGCCACGGTGGCGAGATGTTAACTACCTGGCCTGGCAATCAGGAGGTCGTGGGTTCGATCCCTACCGTGACGCCTGTATATTTGGAGTTTGCGTGTTCTCCCCAGGGATTTTTTGTCTCTGGGTCCTCCGCTTTTTCTCTCCACATTTAGAATGAACGTGCGTTTAGAGTATTTGGCTGATGTAAATTTCCACGTGATGAGCCACTTCGTTGAGCTTTCATGCGTGGTCAGGTCACTTTTGAAGAAGAGTTGCATAGCTCAATGAGACGTTACTTTCTAAAAAGAAAAAGTTTAGTTTATATGTACGTCGTTTCGCACAAAGTCGTGTTTTCCAGGGAAGCATACCCAACGTAAATAGAGGACTTTTACTGTACCCAAAACGATTAAATGAGGAAGCGTTTGTTATGTCACTACAGGTCAAGAGGAAATCAAAGAGACATTGGGGTGATGCGAGGATTCTTGGCAGACTATGACATCTGCAATTGAGGAGAGGGACCAGACAGCACGAAATTGAGCTGAATTGAACATCACGTGGACTATTCTCCCATAGGCATTTCTTCATTACTATAAACAATGTACAGTAAAACCTTGGATTGCGAGCATAATTCGTTCCGGAAACGTGTTTGTAATCCAAAGCACTCGAATATCAAAGCACTCGTATATGAGTTGTGATCACGTAATGCTCGGCAGACAAAGCGTATACGTACTACTCGTATTGCAAGACCTCGCTCGTTTATCAAATTAATGTTTATTTATTTTTGCTCGTCTTGCAAAACACTTGCAGACCAAGTTACTCGCAATCCAAGGTTTTACTGTATTCAAATACAATGACTATTATATGCCACAAGTGAATTGGACGTTTGGTGCATAGCACACGTATTGGTATTCACTGTGTGCATGCTCACGGGGTAAGCTTACCTCCAAGAAAATGCTGGTGATGAGTGGATTCAGCACTTCTGACTTCTCGTGAGCCTGTGATGACAGTTTATGTCATTACTCATCGAATGCGAGTGATCGTGATAAAGGACACCGACTCAAGTGGCAGAGAGAAGTGTTATAAAATGGATTAAATAATACAAATCCATTATTATATTGGTGCGATTAATAAAGTAAGGGATGTTTTCTTACCCCAACGGTGCTCAAGCAGTTTGTAAACTTTGTTGAAAGCGTCGACAACTCCTTGCACAAGACCACTGTTAACCTACAATAAAAAAATGGCAGTTATGTTTTCCTGTGAGCACACCAAGACATAGATGCACCACTTGTTCTGAAAGAAGCAAAGAAAGTACACAACATTGCACACGTTACTAAGTGGCTACATGACTCCAGAGGTCTAAAAATCCTCGTAAAAAATCTGAGATAACATCGCTGAAATCCATGGTTCAATACTGGTCTACGGAGGGGGTGAAATCAGCTTGTTAATTTGTCACTATAATTGGTAAATTGATTGATATCTTAATCGGTGTTTCTTCAGGACTTGAAGGGAAATTATGAGTCAGTGGCAATTGCCACCATTATAAATAAAGTCGAATGATCAAATCACCCAGCATACGCCCGGATAGTGAATGGATGGGCAACCACCACGCATAACAGGTACTGTGAGGGCAACTCATGGGCAGAAAAGGGCAGTGTAGCAAACATCCATTGTCCTGTACTTCGACATTACCATGTCTATGCTCCCCGTTTTCACTAACACACACTCATCAGCACGGTGAAGTATGCTCAGTAAGACTGCTTCTCAACTCCCACCCCGCATTCAGGGAGTGTGGTCGGAGAAAGGCGGCGAGTGGGAGAACGGAGCGGTAGGTGCTGATCCTACCAAACCGCGCAGCTCATGCAGCGTTTTGGGGACGCAGGCCGTGCTGCCGTTTCTGTCCCGGCACTGAAACACCGGCACAGGAACAGCAGTGTGGTTTCTTGCAAGCTATTTGACCAATTTGGACCAGCACACGCGGGGCCTGCTACACACACAACATCCTTGATGTCCATCGTGAAAGCAGTCGGCTTGCACGCGCGTTTAACACTTCCGCGCCCCATTGTTAAACAGGGAACCCGCTAATGCTCAAACCACGAAGCACTGAAACAAGCAGCAAACCGTGTTGCCGCTCGGCGGCGACACAGGGGCGGAGGACACTGTCGAGTCACGCGTGGCACGCAAAGGGGGCGGCGGCGGCGGCGGCGGCGTGTGGACTCGCCTGGTGAGGCTGTGCGCCCTCTGCAGGGCTGTGTGCTCCTGCTCCGTGCCGTGCAGGATGAGCTCCCCGGCTTTGTGGAACTGCTCTATGGAGCGAGCGGTCACCTCCGCCAGGCTCTCGATGCACAACCCATGGATCTCCTGCTCCGCCCCCAGGGCCGGGGCCATTGGTACAATAAGCGTCAATCGAGTCGGCATGCTTTGTCTCAGTCATAGGGATAGTCTAGTTGACGATAACCTGTGGAATTTTTAGTCCAGTTTTTAGGCGTCTGTAGCTTTAATGTATCCATTCGCTTATATATCTAAAGCAGTCAAAATGGCAGTCCACCCTTCGTTATTAAATGTGGGCGTTAGGGGTACGTGCTTCCTCCCCCTCACCCCTGTTTTATCAGGTCAGACAAGCAGTGAACAGAGTAAATATTATTTCTGACAAATGTAGCATATTACCATTTTCAGTCTTCCTCTGTGCACTGCAGTCTCGAATTACACAAACACAATTATTTTACATCATTAGAGCCCCTTTGCCAGTACCAAAAAAAGGGGAAAAACCCTATTCTTAAAATTATCTTAGTCTATGTTTTCATACAGACTCGCCAATTTCATCAGTCATCTCGTCAAAGTCAGCTACGCTTGGGTGTTATTCATCATCATGCTTGATGATTTGTCCACTCACACATCGTTGGATCAAAAGAAAACACACTTTGTTGAAAAATAACCTTCATCAGTAATTTTGTTGACGAAATTATCAGTGCATGCGATGCGTGTGCACAAGACGTTTGCCAGGCGTCGTTTGGCTACGCGTTAGCGTCGCGCTGCACCAACAATACTGATTTCTCTACTTTTATATATATTTTCATTATTTTATTGTTTCCCTTCAACGTGACTTTACCGAAAGAACCAAGAACTTGATTCACTGCAGTCACGAAAGCTTTAAATCAAAATTTACTTTTATCAAGTTTACTAAAGTGGCACTTCTATAACTGTGTGTGTTCATGTTAACTGTCTTGTGTCGGTTTCTTATTATTGCCTGCACAGTTTTCTTCTGTTTCGGGCTCTCCTCCACATTCTTCTCCTCCTCCTCCTTCAGAGTCTCCTCACCCACTTCCCTCAGCCAGGTGTCCGCTTTTTCTCTCGCCTGAGTCACACGCGAGAATTTTACCACTCAGGTGTGTGCATCTTATTTTACAAACCAACGTCGGCATCCACTTAAACGCGTTCTGTACTCCTTGCAGCCTGCAGGTGTTTACCTTGTTGAGCTTGTCAGGTGTGACCCCGACATGAAGGCTGAAGAGCAGCTCAGTTATGACGTTCACAAAATCCTGGCCCTCTTCTCCTGAAAACATATGGGAGTGCGTTAGTCAAAAAATCCTAATCCATCATTTCAATAATCGGGACATCCCAGCTCCAGATTTGTGTCGACTATGATGGCTATAAACATTTAGACCAGGGGTGGGCAAATGTTATGACTCGCAGCCCACAATGGGTTCTAAAATTTGACAGAGGGGCCCGGCCAGGAACAGATGGATGGAGTGTTTGTTTGAACTAATATAAATGACATGTAAAAATCATTACATGAAAGGATTTGGCCTTTAACAGGTAGCAAAGCATTTATTTGCAAAGCAAAGTGCGCCATCTAATGGGGAAATGGGGGCATTACAGGAGAAAGGTAAAATTTTATTGAATAATAATATTTGGACAAGTTCGACGGGCCGGATTAAAAAGCCCAACGGGCCGTATATGGCCCGAGGGCCGTACTTTGCCCATGTCTGATTTAGACTGAAAGTCAATCCCATGTCATACGAAAATATTTTAAACGGTTGTGGGTGCTAACCACAGCACCTTTCTCGTCAGTGGCCTCCGCCTCTTCGTCCAACTCCTCCAGGGCGAGCGCAGATTTAATCTGCTCCAACTCCAGCCGAGTGCGATCCAGGTCTTCTCCCGACAATGCAGCTGTCACTGCCTGCACCTACATAGCGCACATCAGCGGACATTTAAAGTTTGCAGACATATCCGTGAGATATTTTTTTAAAGATGCAATCCATACCAAAGTTAAGTAAAACACATAGCGCCATTGACACATGGCTTCACAGCTCTTTGCAACACAATCCCAGTAAAAAAACCCTTAACATTAAAACTTAGGGTAAAACAACTCTCTACACAGATGGATATGCAAGAGAAAGCAAATGTGTTTTCAGACGGGCCTTAAAAACCTCGAGTGACGGAGTTTCCCTAACGGACCGGGGCGAGACATTCCACAAATGAGGCATCCGACTACCGAAAGCTCTGTCACCCATAGAATACAGATTTGTCCTTGGTACAATATACATACTTATGACACTTAAATCAGGTGACAAGTGTAATTATAATAGAAATGAGTGCTGGCTTCGCATTAGGGATGCAGCCGCAGTTTGGAAGTTGGCGGGGGGGGAGTCCCACATCCGGAGGTGCCGCAGATAATCAGATCATAGGAGTTGCCGGTAAAACTCGCAAATAAGTTTTACTGTACAATAATTATACTGAATCCATACAACTCAGTCTGTGCAGATGCTACTGTGTACAGGTATCCCTCGATTTATGAAAGGAATGCGTTCATCCAAAAAACACACGTAAAACGAAATTTCGTACATCGGAATGGTTTTTCCCATTAATTTATACGAAATATTGGGGATGTGTTTCAGACAGTCATTCCAACTCTACTCCTAACATAAATATTCAGCGATATCACTTTTGACAATATAACCATAATAATGAACATAAATATTAAACCGATTGAATAATTAATTTACAAAATATGTTTACATTTTCATGAAACTCGCTAAAAAAATGCATTACTGTCGCACTGAAGGGATGCTGTGACGCTGTCGTGGATGGATGATGCAGCCTCCCGGGTGCTTCTTGTTTGATCTCATGGCGTGTGCCGTGAGAAATTTCGGAAATTCGATTTCGTGAATCGAAAAGTGTCCATAATTTGTCAATTGTGTCAACGGAACATTTCGGAAACTTAACGTTCATAAATCATGGGATACCTGTATTTAAAGGTTCTGTCAGCAGCATAATATGCATGTCACCTCGTTGAACGAAGAAAACCACACACTCAAAAATACTGCATGTTTGTACAAACTGTTGTAGGTGTCTCTTAGGCATATTTTAAAAATGTTAGCGTCCAGACACTCACAACACCCACAGTGGCTGTGCTCCTGCATCACATGTACCTTGGCCTCACTCTCATTGGACAGTATTTCCAGGGCCTCCAGATGAGACAAGCCCTGGAACTCATCGAAGAGCAGGCCATAGTGGGCCTTCTTCCCATCACCAATCACCCCGGCCGCACCTTCCTGAGACAGACGTTGCTCCTCCTTTTCCTTGGCCTCCCGCAGGACCTATGTTCAACCACATGGCATGACAATGCAATTAAACACACTTTGAAAACACGCAAACATCCAGTTAGTTCCTTGCCTGTACCTCACTCTAACACCATTGTGTCCTTTCTTTTCCATGCAATGCCACAAGGACATGATGATGATGATGATTTGGAGCGCTGCGGTGGCGAGATGTTAACCACCTCGCCTGGTAAATAAGGAGGTCGTGGCTTTCATCCCGACACTGAAACTTGTATATTTGGAGTTTGCATGTTCTCCCCTTGGTCGTGTGGATTGTTCTCCACGTCCTCCGGTTGTTCCCGACACAATGAGAAACATGCGTTAAAGAGTGTTTGGCTGCTATGCATTTCCAAATGATAAGCCACTTCGTTGAACTATCATTTGTGGGCAGGTCACTTCTGAAAAAATATATATTTTTTAAACGTTTATGTTCTGTTTTATTTAGCTCAGTGAGCCTTACCTAATTAAATAAAATAGTTTCTAGTTTTAAAAAAAATGTTTACCGTTTTCATTTATGAGGCCCTGCTGAACCACAACTGGCCAGCACCTCCACAACATCCACCTGTGAGTCTCTGACCTGAGAGAGGGTGGTCGTCTTGTGCAGAAGACCCTTTGTACGCCGAAAACCAGGGTCCCCCTCCGCCAAGATGTCCATTGTCTTCTTGCCAATCAACTCAAGTGCATCGAGGCCACCAGTGATGACGGTCTTGCTCTACGTCAACAAGTGGAAAAAGGAGAGTCGTGATTTTGAACACGGTTAATGAGTTAAATGTAAGGCGTGTAAAAATGCACCGATGTGGATTTCAAATGAGATGAACTACCGTATTTTGCACAGCATTCGTAATCGCGGATGCAGTCATGCCACCGTATTTAGACAGCATGCCGAACGCCCCACCCGTCGGCGAAACTGGTTTTCCTTGACCTTCTGCCGCAGGGCTGCCGCTTGCCTCCGTCGCTGTAAGAAAAACCCAAGGAGTTAAAACTTATGGGTCTGGCAGGCTTAAAAAACAATTCAATATCTAGGCCAATGCACAGGCCAACACGCGGTGACGTATGACACATATGGTACTGAACTCATGGTGCAAGTCAGCACATTCCCCGTCGAGGCACCTGTCTCATTCGGTGGGGCCTCCACTGCAGCACCCTCGGCCTGCTTCTGATCTGCCGAAAGATCAGACGGTGTTGGGATGCCCAGAGAGGCTTCGGCTTTCTCCATGACGTGTGTTATTCCATGGCCTACAGGAACAGCAACAAACGCAGGAGTAAAGTCACAATAAACACGAAGTGTCAGACTCATGCCCTTCATTTGCTTGTATGGATATTTGTTTCCCCTATGATTTACACAGTTGACCATGTATCTAAAGTGGATCACAAAGCTAATGACACCACTCCTTCCTGCTTGGATTACTTAACTTGTAAATCACCTTGAAGTTCAGAATATAATTACACTCATCTGAAACTTGTTAAAATTGGCAATTATCTTATTTTCAAGTGGATACCCTTTTCTGGTTTAAATGAAGTGTATTTTTACGGTTATTTTTTATTCAGTTCAAACTATTTTTCGACTAAAATTTCAAAATTATTTAACTTAAAGGAAACCGCAAGAAACGTTCAACGATATTTGTTTAAAAAAATCACATTGGATGCAAATGGTGTAAATGTGCACGTGGTGAAATTAACGCGAGACTCACCAACGGAGGAGACTGTTGCAGTTGCGGAGGTAAGAAGGGATTTTCCCCAGCTGCCCCACGACCCCCAGCCCCCTCCTTGAGAAGCCTAACCAACAAATCACAGCCATCAGCAAATTCATTCATTCTGTGGGTCGTGTGTACGTTGAACTTATTTCGCACAGTACGTAAGAAGTTCAACATACATACAGCTAATGCATGCAAAGAACAAGAAAAAGTGCAATGCTACTGTGATAGACATTTTTACGATTTGTGACACATTATAAGGTTAGGACAATGTGATCTGGTGAGTCAAATTTAGTTTTCCCACACAAAAAAATTATCAGGACACTATCGATGTCTCAACTGTACTGATAGTAAAATACATGCGAGAGCTCACAAGGCTGAGAAAATTCAATGTTATCTTTTAGAGAAAACCTGTGCAATTGATTAAAAAACACAGGGACCCTCAGACATTAAGATCTTCTCACATTACTGGTTCTCAATCATGGCTGCTCTGCCGTCAGCGGGCGTTCAAAAATACACTGCCGGTGCATGTTCCAAACATGCAAAACTGATTAACCCATAAACGAAATTATGACGGATATCCGACAATGCAAGGCACCTCTTGTCGTGGCTGCGGTTGGGTGTCTGGTTCCACGGGGGAAGGGGAACCCGGCTTGGGCTCTGGTCGTTTCCGTGTGGCGTGCTGAGCTGCCTGTGTCTCTCCTGGACTCTCGCTGGTGTCGGCTGTGCTCAGGGCATCCTTCTTGGAACCCTCCTTGGCCTCTTCCGTTGCATCCTCCTTGACATCCTCCTTGGTATCCTCCTTGGCAACCTCCTTGGCAACCTCCTTGGCATCCCCCTTGACATCCTCCTTGGCAATCTCCTTGACATCCTCCTTGGCAACCTCCTTGACATCCTCCTTGACATCCTCCTTGACATCCTCCTTGACATCCTCCTTGACATCCTCCTTGGCATCCACACCATCAGGGTGGGTTGACACAGGCTCGTCCTCTCCGCTACCTGTGGAGCTGGAATCTTCTGCCTGAGAGAACACAGATAATGATTATCATCAATTAAGTCCTTTTTTTAGAATCATGAAGGCATGATGATAGGTTATCAAAGGAAGGCATGGGTAACAACAGAAGGACCTCAGATATGTTATATTTATAAATGATGTGAAAATATTAACATGGAGAGCTTTGACCATGACATCAGAATACAAATTCTATTCAAACCTAGTCTTCTAATATCTTACACTCAGTCACAGTGAATATGCAGGACCTCCTGCTCTATGAAAATGCCACAATGCCGAGAATGGTGGAAGAGTACCACTTGTTCTGCTCCTGCCTCCGTGCCGCTCACAACGGCACTCATTTCCACGTCCACAGTTTCTGCAACCTCCTCCTCAGCAGCATCCACCTTACTCTCATCTCCCTCCATCCTTCAAGCTGCAAGTTTCGTTTGCTTCTAAAAAAACAAGTGTAAATATGCAAAAATACTTTGTCAAACCAAAAGCAACACCGATTATACAATATCAAGTGGGCATGTCCAGTGTATTATGTTAAACAGCATCCGGCGATAATGTCAACAGACATGGGGAATCCACCTCAACTGTCATCGAGTGATGGGCTTAAAATCTCTGGCTGCGTACACTTGACATTATTTTGCACTTGAAAACTACTGTATACAATAACTTAACTTATTTTTTTATTTTTCCAGGTAAAGCCCTTCCAGCTATTAGCTCTTTACCTGACCACACATGGTAACTCATCGAAATGGCTTATACACACATGGTAACTCATCGAAATGGCTTATACACACATGGTAACTCATCGAAATGGCTTATACACACATGGTAACTCAACGAAATGGCTTATATCACAAGGGAATTTATAGTCGCCAAATAATCTGAGGCGACCTGACCACACATGGTAACTCATCGAAATGGCTTATATCACAAGGGAATTTATAATCGCCAAATAATCTCAACTGAACGCATGTATCTTAAACGTTGAGGGGAAACCCAGAGGACCCAGAGAGAAATCCACGCGTGACGCGACTACGAGAACACGCAAAAACTCCAAATATAATACAGGCATCGTCAGCGTTCGGGATCGAACCTATATATTCCTCCTGCAAACCAGGCGACGGAGACAACATCTTGCCTCCGTGGCTGAACCCATGAAGAGATTGCATATAGTGTCCTGTACAAGTTGTTGACATGATAATTGTTTTTTTACCCTTTTATCTGGCAACAAAACTGACACCTTTTTTACAAGGAGTCTTGTTTACATTGACCACAATACCTGCGGTCGGAACGCAAACAAAAACTCTGATAATGTATGCACTGTCCTTGAAATTGATTGGTCCACACCCGAGACAGCTTTCTTTAGAGCCTCGTCTCACATGGTGTTGGACCAGAAGACGCCAAAAGGCGCACAACTCAAAGGCAATGCACCATCAGAGTATGAGAGCTCAGGGTAAGCATTCACACCATTGGAAACCTCATTTGCCAGTAACAAAATATGATCATTGTTTTTTTACCCTTTTATCTGGCAACAAAACTGACACCTTTTTTACAAGGAGTCATGTTTACATTGACCACAATCCCTGCGGTCGGAACGCAAACAAAAAACAACTCTGATAATGTATGCACTGTCCTTGAAATTGATTGGTCCACACCCGAGACAGCTTTCTTTAGAGCCTCGTCTCACATGGTGTTGGACCAGAAGACGCCAAAAGGCGCACAACTCAAAGGCAACTCAAAGGTAAACATGACTCCTTGTAAAAAAAAGGTGTCAGTTTTGTTGCCAGATAAAAGGGTAAAAAAACAATTATCATATTTTGTTACTGGCAAATGAGGTTTCCAATGGTGTAAAGTTGTTGACACTCAATAGCTCCCGTTGGAGCCCCATGTCCAGAGCATCAGCCTCGAGCGGCCAAGAGGGAGCTGCACTGGGACGTGGCCAAGCTGAACACAATCCCAATGTCGGCATCGCAAGTAACGTTACCCAACCAAACCTCACCATCAAGTCAAAAGGGTCCCAATCAACGGGTATATTAATATAGAATAATGTAATACTTTCAACAACAAAAAAAACATCCTCTGCTTACAATTATTTTAGGTCACGTCAGAACATCAATTCGTCGTATTGTACAGTATTTAATATGCTCCGGGCCTCTTACGCTTTCCGCCGTCACGAACCCGTGGTCAAGCAAAACCACAACAGAACCCTTGATGCGCGGCCGCTCAATCCAGCAGTGGATTTATAACAACAATAACAACAACAATAACAACAACAATAACAACAAAAACGAGGGGGCTAGCACGCGATTTGCCTGGCGTGATGCTCAGAGGGGGAGGGGGGGGGGGCCTCCATGCGAACTCTGGGTCTCGAATTTTTTGTTGGGGGGGTGTGGGGGGGGGAAGAGATGTGAGCCTCGCGCGCCCCGTCGGGCTGTTCCAGCACGTGCTGGGTAACCCTTCGTTAAGATTTAGATTTTTCGATTTAACTGCAAGGATTCATCTTCTTTGGTTCTTTCGGAAAAGTCACCACGATAGAATGAGAATAAAATAATAAAATAAAACAATAAAATTCTCACGACGTTTCGGCCACAACACAGCTTGTTCCTTTCACCTGAAGAAGGCCGCTTGTGTTGTGGCCGAAACGTCGCGAGAGTTTTGTTGCTTTATTTTATTATTTTATTCTCATTCTACGTGGTGACTTTACCGAAAGAACCAAAGAAGATTTAGTTGTTTTTTTTTTACAAACTAATGGGATAATTTAAATAATCTTAGCTCTTTCGGTAAAGTCACGTTGAAGGGAAACAATAAAATAATAAAATATATATAAAACAATATAAAAAATAAGAGATAATTTGAAATAGACCGCCGGCCCGGGGGTTTCGTGAGGTCGACACGAATGCCGCACACGGCCTCGGCGCGATGACGTCACAAGGGCGCTGTTGTCACTTTTAAAGTCATTTTACCCCCCCCCTCTCCTTTTTCTTCTCTATCCTTCACCGACGTTTCAGGCTCGACCCTGGCAGCGCCTGTGAAGCCCCCCACACACACACGCAGCTCAAATAAAGCTTTAAGAAGGGGAAGAAAAAAAACCGTACAGAAAAAAAATGTGCGCTTTGCCTCCGCACAATCGCTCGGTCACGACACCGCCCAAACCCCCCTTTAAAAAAAAAGTGTGTTCGGCCTACTCTTCCACGCCGTTAATGACTTTGCCTGTTTAATCTTCAACACCCCCCCCCCCCCCTCTCACCGTTACCGTCGCCACCATCCACCGCAGGTTTCCGCGCGCACCCCGAAAGGCGTCTGTCTCTCTTTCCCCCCTCACGTCAGCCTGTGCAGACAAACAAGATCCCTGGGCCGCTTGTCGCCGGGGTGGAACCCCGACACGACGTTGTCAGGGTCGGACAACAAGGAGAAAGGAAACTAGAAGCCCGGCCTCTAGAACCCACCGCCTCCACCACCCCCTCTGCTGCTGCTGCTCATCGGCGCCACCGCCGCCGCCCGCGTGGCCACGTCGACGAAGTTCACGATTCGGCTGCGGCGGCGGCGGCGTTTACGCGGTGACGTCACCACGTCGCAACGTCGTCGTGTGCCGCGGACGTCACCGCGTCGCGGGTCGGGTGCCGTGACGTCATCGCGTCACACGCCGGTGCCGCGCGACGTCATCGCGTCGCACAACGTCGTCGTGTGCCGTGACGTCATCGCGTCGCGGGTCGGGTGCCGCGACGTCACCGCGTCGCACGCCGGCACGTTCCCGCCGCCTTACCGTTGCCCCCCCCACCATCCGTGAAGCGCGGTGACGTCACGAATGCGCGGTGACGTTCAGCGAAGGGGTGCTTGCCATGACGTAGGCGTCATGGCAAGCACCCCCACCCGCTGCCTCGCCCCACTCCCCACGGGTGGGTGTGGACCGTCATCGCCGCCAGAACTGTGTTGACGCGGTAACGAATGCTAATTTTACGTGATGGTGGCGTCATCATTGTCGTCATGACGGTTGCAATGTGGCGACGTCACGCGAACGTGTTCTTAAGTGGTGGCGTGCGGGGCAAGACGGTGACGTCATTTTACCGCGGGAACGGAAGAACGTGCGGAGTCCGTGCTGACATCATCGCCGTGGGAACATGGTGACGTGTACGTTTGTTTGACACTTTAAAATAGACATTGACACGCGTTGTGCACACTTTACAACGGCTCTGTTGTCAAAAGTTGATTAAAAGAACATTTTTGTTTCGTTTGTATTGTACCGTTTGGTCAGTGTCATGCGTTTCATTTGCCTTCAGGGGCCGTCCATAAATGACGTCCCGCGAGTTTGGCCGATTTTTGACCCTCCCTCCCCCCCTCGTCACATGGCGTCACAAAAAGTCAGACCCCCCTCAAATATGACGTCACAAAGCTCTGCGCCCCCCCCCCCCCAAAAAAAAATTGCCATTTTGAAAATAAAACATGCTTCAAATCACTTTAAACTTTTGTCATTGTAGTGTGTAAATGTGGCGCTGCACTCTGATGTTGTAGGAGAAAACATTTATTAAAAAGGAGGCGTTGGAAAGCTTAAATTTAGCATAAAATTCACTTGAAAATATTAAACGTCTAACTAAAACTGCAGATTTTGATTTAAAGCTTTCGTGACTGCAGTAATTCATATTCTTAGCTCTTTCGGTAAAGTCACGTTGAAGGGAAAGAGCTAAGAATATAAAACTGCAGATGTTCAGAATATTATATTGAAATTATCTTATAATTATAAAATATTAAAAGTAATTGTAACTATACAAAAAATACTTTAAACTTTGTAGTAGAACGAAGCAAAATGAAGAGTACAATTATAACAATCACATTTATTCCACAGAATGAAAAGCCCTAGTAGAATCATTAAAATAAAAATGTTTAATAACATTGAAAAAATTAACAAAATGTATGCTTCTCCATTCTACCATTGAGAAGCAAAGTGCTCCTTCAGGTGACCTTAGTAAATTTTAAAAATCAAATAGTTAATAATGAAAATTCATCAAAATTAGAGTTGTTATAACAATCTATTTTACATCATTAGACCTTCTTTGCCAGTACCAAAATGTAATAATAGGGTTTTTCTCTTTTTTTGGCAACAAAACTGAAACCTTTTTTTTACAAGGATTCATGTCTGCATTAACCACAATACCTGCAGTCAAAATGAAAACAAAAAACATACTATGATAATATATGATACATTGTCCTTGAAACTGATTGGTCCACACCAAGGGACGGCTTTCTTTTGGCGTCATCTGGTCGAGCACCAATTGGTGTTTCCACTGAAACACAAGCAATCATCATCAGGTGTGAAAACCACAGCAATACATTTTTAATTGTTTTATATTTTTATTATTTTATTGCTTCCCTTCTACGTGACTTTACCGAAAGAACCAAGAATATATTTCGAAACCAGTCAAGAGTTTGCGAGTACTAAACCAATCAATGCTGTTAAGATGCACTTTCAAAAGGCCATGTGGTTGATGGGATGTACATTTTTTGCTATGTTTGAATGCGTTTTGTCTGCTGTTACTTATTACTATAGTTTCTGCAACCTCCTTACTATATATTACTAGCTGCACTACCCGGCTTCGCCCGGGACTTGGATCCACCACGCGCGGCCGCCTTTGTCTCCCCAGTGGCGATGTTCACACACCACAGCAGTTACTGGTTTGATGCTGAGTCGACCTAGGGGAGGCCCAGGGCCGGTTACAATAATCGTCACCGGTGGTGGCCGTGAGCGGGAATCGAACTCGGGTCGCCGGGTTCGTAGCGCGGCGCGCTAACCGCTACACTACAATGCGTTACGCTTCCACATACGCGGGTCACGTGACAGATTTGACGTCACAGCTCACTTGCTGTGCAAAAAATATATATGCATTATTGAGCTCCCCCCCCCCCCCCCCCCCCGAAAAAGTATTTTTTAAAAATAATTTTTGCATGGTGTACAGTCTGGAAAGTACCCACATGGCAGATGTCAAGTTTGTTGCATGTCGGGAAGTACGCTAAACATTTTGAACAGACACACATATTCACAATTTAGCCTTTTATGCATATGGAGATTTCCCATGCACGCAAAGCGAACACGTGAATATCATCGGCGCGGCAAAGAAGGTTCTAAATGAACATTTAGAAAAATAACTCGCCATATTCAGTCACAATGAGACAGAAGAGTTTTATTTCATCGTATGCAACTGTACAATGGGTCATTTATTGATTTTATATACATAAACCTATATAACCAAGACGTAACCCCACTCAATTGTGTACACGTGTATAAAACAACTGGATCCAGTATAACAAAAACAGATGCTACACAACGGGCTCTCTTTTATTTTTTTACAAGATATACATTATTACGTTAATTGTTGAGAGATGAAAATGTACAGGCTCAGCGTTAAGTTTGTGCACAGTGCAGTGAACAAGAAGGGTTAGTGCATGAGGTGGGCAGGTTGGGGCAGATTGAAATTGTTTTTTTTGTATTATTACACGCTTTTATTTAGCCTCAAAAAAATATTGGAACTCAATTTTAACCCACTTCCCAATGTGCTATCGACTGCAAACTTGGTATACTTAGGTCATACTGATGACAATACCGTATTCTATCATAACAAATCCAAAACGTATTTTTAAACATTTTACACGCTTTTATTTAACTCGCTGTCTGCTGCTGTATCCTCAAATCTTGTAACTCAATTTCAACCGTCTTCCCAATGTCGTATCGACTGCAAACTTGGTATAGGTATGTCATACTGGTGACAATACTATATTCTATCATTAAAAATATACATTTTTAAACAATCTTTTTTACCGGTCTAATTGTCCACGCTCAACTGACGTTGGCTGTAAGTCACCACGGTTCCTCTTAGGTTATGGAAAACTTCGGGGCCACTTCCTGAAGTCGTAGAGTTCTTCCATTACTCGTACGGTACATTTAATTAAAGCGTGTTTTAAAAAAAAAGTAATTTTTTTAATATTTTATTGTTTACCAAGTGACCCGATTAGGCTTAACCCCCACACGTCTGCCAAAAGACCCACAAATTATGCCTGTGAATATAGTGCCACAGTTACTGACATTTCTAAACACGGTATGCTTTTAATGTCATAAAATGTCCAAGTGACTTTACCGAATAGAACCAAAGAGTATATCCAAGTGTCTTTTGTACAGCATTGTAAATCTAATTTGTAATTTAGTTTTTATTTATTTAAATATGCCTTTAAATGCACTTCTGTTTTTCCTTTAAATACATTATGAAGCCAAGTGAATGAATGTTGCATGACTTTATTTTAATTGAAATATTAAATTGTTAGTATATGTGTTTGTAATGGCCTATTGAGACATCAAAGTCAAATTAATGTTTAAGATGCATTCTGTACGTGTTGTAAGGTATATCATTTATATACATGTACTGCATATACATAATCTACTGTATACAATACAGTATAAGTTTTGTACATATATACACAGCATGAGAAAGGCGGTAAAGACGTTTTGAGAATAAGAATACACAAAGAGCCACATCCATCCTGGCACTACGAATATTTTAAATCCCCGCTGTTTAGTAACCAGCCCAAGTTTTGAGCTTTCCCATTGCAACCCGAGGTCTCTCTTCCAAAAGACCAAGTACTGTACAGTACTGATTGATAACAGCAGAATAAGTGCACTGTTACAGGTTTCTGTATTGACCACTTATAGGTAATCACCAAATCTGTGTATTTTAATCTCGTCAAAACATTATGACCACCTTTTTGTATACATTCATTTATCCTAAAGCCAAAAAATATTCCCAATCAACCACAGATCGAAGTTGAACTCAAAAGCAAATCTAAAGGAAACGAATCCGAAAAGAGTCAACCAATGGGAACACAGTGTGCGTTTCATACATCAAGTGCAGAAGGTTGGATTTTTTTTATCTCCAAGATTTTTGGACTTTGTCAAAAATTTTAACGGGTACTAAACATTTGGGGCTAAAAACGATTCAACACCCCATTCATTATTCACGGTGGTGAATATTGTTCGAGAATATTTTTCGTTTGACATTGCGGTGTATGTAACCGGCTTTAGTTGCTTCAGGGGTCATGTAACCAATTATCTTTGACAATAATCTAAATACATTGATTCCTACACGTGCGATTCGATGCATGTATCGCGCATGAATCAATGCATCGTTCCACTCCCTACTAAATGTAACCTTAGCATCTAAGCAACCTTTATACGCGTCTTCATTATATGCTTTCAGGTATTCAGCACAGCCGGCTTTTGTTACCGATAAATCATGTGCACATGTATTTCTTACGGTAACATGTCGCTTATAATTACGAGCTCACAATCACTCTGACTGATAACATGTAGGGCTCATTGCAGCAATTCACGTTGCATATTTTCAGATGTCTAATAGCATAGCTGTTACCATTTATTTCAAATGGGTATGTTGTAATTCATCGATTAATATAAATTCTTACGCTCTCGATACTTGCATTGAATCGCGCGCGTAATGATCGACAATAAAATGTACACGCTAAAGCGATGTTGATATTACAATTAGCCTATGCAAGCAAATGAGACTGTG